GGACGTCTCACGCTCGCGCCGCGCCAGACGAGCGCTCGGCGGGCACGCGAAGGGAAACCGCGTCCCAGAGCGGGAGAGCTCGAGCCGTGCCCCGTGACGGCGTCACTCCGCTCGGCTTGGGCAGCTGGGGGATCAGTCCCTCCGCTGCGCGTGAGCGGGCGCCGCACCGAAACTCCCGGCTCGGTGACGAGCGCCCGGCCCGGCCCCCCACGCCCAGAGCAACGGCACAAACCGTTCCTGAGCCGCTCCAGCAATTTAGGGTTGTCACTGCTGTGGGAACAAAAGCAATTTCATCCCACAGCTGTGTATGATCAGAAAAGAGACTTTCACCGTGATTTTACGGAAACCGTAATGCAGGAATGGGAGAAATTTCCGCAAAATGCAGAAATTGCTAGTGCTGTCTCGTTCCCGCCTCGGTTTTAAGGAAACTGCTGCAGCACCTACAGTGTCTGCCTCCAAAGCTGAAGAATGTACTAAATGAGAGTTGGTATCGCACAGACACAGAATAGATATATTTTGTTTTGACAAATAGCAAGCACGATTGTTCAGATGGATTCCAGCCTCCCCACTAAACTTCCTTTTTCAGTTGCTTACCCAAGCTAGTCGGGTGAGGAGGCACTAGGGAGAAGGGCACAGTAAACACGTTAAAAAAAAAAAAAAGAAAAGATAAAATAAAGGATTAAAGGGGAAAAAAAGCATTCCAGGTGAAGTTAATAAACTAAAAGAGAAATTAAAAGTTACAAACATCCCAAGCCCACTATCACCACAAACAGCAAAAGCTGGATTTTTAAATTTTTTTTTTTTTTAAGTGCAGCTCATCTTTTCAGGAGCTGCTTAGAAGCCTTATTTGAACACCTCGGCGGTGAAACACTCCAGCCAAGCTTTTGCGCGCCTTCCTCGCGACCTTCAAAAGCGGGGTTCAGATCGCGCCAATGAAAAGCGGAGCACACGGGCACGGAAGCGCCAGCTCACTTCCCGCGAAACCCACCGCTCGCGTCGCGCGGGCTTCCGCACCCGCCGTGCCCGGGCCTCAGGACCGGTCCGCATCGCACCCGGCCCCCCCCCCCCTCAGCCCCCCCCAGCCCCCCGGCTCCCGCAGACACCCCCGAGCCCCGCGCCGGGGCCGCTGGGCCGAGCAGGGGCTGCGCCCCTCGGTCGCCGACAGCCCGAGCATCACCGGGGGTTTCGGGCAAAAAGGAGAGCCCGAGAGCGCGCGCTGCCGGCTAAGCGCAGCACAAACTTGCCCGCTCAGGAAAGGGGCAGAAAACGGCCAGAAGCGTGTGAAAACGGCACTGTTAATCACTGCAGGAGGAAGTTAAACAAGCGCCCGCTGCAATCACAGCGATTTTACACTACCACCCAGCTTACAACTCCCAAAGCCGTCGGCCTCCGGGGGCTGCAGGCACGTGCGGGGCTGCGCTTCCCGAACCTCCCGCTCGGAGAAGCCGGGCCGGTGGCTCTGGCCACCGGGGAACTGCTCTTTCTCGATCCGAAAGCATACGTGCTTGCTGCACCGTACTGCTCTTCAAGTCAGTTATGAGACACGCTCATTAGAGCAAATTTATCTTTTTGTCTCTGATCTCGGCCAGAAATTACAGCAAAGTCTTGCTAGCTTGCACAGTGACTGGGAAAATTAATTTAAATGGATTAATTCTAGAAAATAATTAGTAAAACCTCACAATTTAAAACAGAAAGAAAACACTGGGGGGGAAAAAAAAGTATTTAAAAAAAAAAAAAAAAGCCTTTAGAAAACCCATCAAACATTATTTTATGGCGTATTACAGCATACAAGTGAAATATTTGTTAGTGCTCTTGTGAGAAAGCCTGGAGAACTTTGAGCACGATCCCACTGAGTAGAGGCTGCAACTCCAGCAGTGTGTGTGTTAGTGAACTGCAGCCAGCAAGGCCTTCCCACAGTCATGACCAGAGCGTGAACTTTCCTTTTAAAACAATAAAAACCAAAATCCTGTTTGCAGAAAGAGCTCACAAACAGGTGGAATGGCAAAAGCTCAAGGAGACAATGCATGGAACGACTAATCACTGTATTTGCTTTTAATGGTCCATCAACGGCTGTGTTGACTGTGCACATCCTTTCACAGGGGACTATACACAATCTCAAATTCAGGCTTTTGAAATTGCATTCCTAGGCTCTGTTTTAGCCGACTGAAAAGATGAGCTTTCCCCATCCAACGGTCCAACAGCTCTTTTTCCCAGCCCAGCGTGAAGTAACTAATGGGAGAAACTACTTGTCAGGTGGATGTTTGGAGCCCTGGAAAGGTCAGCGTCATACACACCCTCTGACTGCAGGTCTAAATACTCTGAGCACCCCCCACAGCAAGAGAGAAAGGCAGCGAGAGAGGCAGAAACAGAAAGAAAGCAAAGAAAGGAAGAAAAAGAAAACAGTAAAGATTGCTGAAAAAACAGACAAAAGAGTTAACTCGCAACGGTATCTTCAAGCAGTGTTCCTGCCAGGAGAATATGCAGGAACGTTAAAGAGAACAATCACGGAACATGGCATTTTCCACATAAAATTCAGACCGATATACCAAAAACCAGAAGACTCAGTACACTGTAAAAAACATTTTTCTTGAGCCTAACACACATTCTGGAGTTATCAGAGTGAGATTTGGCAATACCGGCAGCTCTTCAGTCAGAGAACTTCTGCAAAACGACCTGGCTTTTGACAAGAAGCTACCGTACAGAATTAGGTATGGGAAAGGAAGTTAGCTAAATACATTTAAAGCAGAGAAATTAGGTCAATACGTCTGAAACACCTTCTTTAGTATGATGTCTAAGGGAGCCAAAATTCTTAGTCGCCGTTTAAGCAGAACTGCCACGAGGGACATTCTACTAAGCCGTGCAAGGCCAAACCACTAAGTTCCCGGTGTTTGAATTCGGGGCAGTGCGGGCGGGCAGAGAAGCACCAGCAGCTGAGCAGGTTGTTGTGGAGGGTATCTGGAGGGCGGTGCTGCAAGCTCTGGAGCTTCCACGACCCTAGTGATTGCAGAATCTACAGAGCCTGGCGGGAGCTCCAAGGAGTATTAGAGATCTCCGCTGTAGATCTCGGTATTGCAGGGAGGGGAACGAGGGAGAAGGAAGACCTGATTCTACAGAAACGGGAATGTGGTTTGGTAGAAGTTCAGCACTTCTGGAGAAGTGCTTGTAGGAAGTCTTCAAGACCCACACAGTCAGTCCAAAACGTTCTTAAACTTTCAGCATATTCCATTTCCTTGGAAACATTACGGAACATGGTAAGAAATGAATATATTCACTACTGGCCATAGTGAGTTTAACTGCATCTGTTCCAACAGAAGGCAGGCTGGTTTGGGAGAGGGGAGGGCACCAGGAGCTTTTATCGTCACTGGTCAGGATGGCAGTTCATACACTGGGAGAAGCCTGGCTCCTAAACAGAGCTGGAGCAGCTGAAATCACCTTCTAACAGGTTTCTGTCTTCTTACAGCTTCTATTTTGATTTTTGGCTACAGTTATAGTTGTGGAAAGCTACAGACACCTTTAAAGTGGAGACTGTGGTTACTCAAGTATTTACTTTCTTTGCCAAAACGGAATTAGTTTTGTAGAATTGCAGTCATGCAAAACCAAGCAGGTTCTGGAAGCCTTGTCCTTCTTGAAAGTGCTTGAGAGATATATACACTTACTTAGAAAAACACATTCAAAATTACACTGCCTGAAACAGCAGCATAGCCCACAACATCTAACCAGCCAAGTCAGAGAAAAAAAAAAAATAATCCTACCTGCTAGGAAATAAATGGAAGACATAAGAACATGCCAAATAAGATTTACACTGCTACTGTGAATCCAGACAGTCACACGTGTAACGCTACTGTACTCACACCAGGCGCTCAGAGAGGAAAAACATCTGGAGCACAGAGTTTGTTTTAGACACACGTGCCAATGGATTTAATTAGATACACTGCAAACGGGAAAAGGAGATGCTGCTTTTAGCACAGCAGGCAATATTCTTATTCTTCTCATCTGTCATTTTTTGTGAAGCCAGTCTGCTTGGCCATGCCATCCCCATGCGTACAAACTAACTCCATTTATCAAAACGCTCCTCAGATGCAGTCACTGCAAGCAGGGAAATCCCCGGCATCTCACTCTTTTCAAGTATGAAGAGTAAAGGCCACTGGACATCAAAAATAAAAAGCAGTCACGTTATTAAAAACTCAATTCGGAGTTGCCTAACCAAACGCACCTTTGGTTAACTGCCTCCCATAACTTTACTTAGTTCTGCAATCCTGCTTGTTTTCTGAGCTGCTGTGTTTTAACTCCCAGTAGCTATTTGCTGGCGCGTGTACACGTGCCAAGCAGCTCACGTTGACTATCCAAAAAAGTCACATAACCACAACATTATAAAAAGTAAATACCAGTTCCTGGGTCAGATGCATAAAATACAGGGGCTCCAACTAGATAAATCACACCCTACATATTTGTAAGGAATACGAGGAAAAAACCCAAGTATCTTAAAATTGGGAAATATTTCTGGATGCACTGAAGTGAACCAGGTGCTCGCCGCTTTCAAAGGCGACTTCCCCTCTCAAATCATCAAGGCAGGCTAGATTCGAGCGCATGCAATTCCAACCAAACTGCTGCCCCAATCCTAACAAATACCAGGATCTGCCGTATCTTTTTCTGGCATTCCGCACTTTTTATCATTTACTGCCTATAACGTACTACTCTGACAACGAGGGGACGACAGTGGCCCGAGTCATCTCCCTCCTCCCCCTGCAAGCCGGCGCAGGCGGGCGACGCCTCCGGCTCACACCAGCCGCGCACGTTTCTTAAAACAAACCCCCTGATACATATTTGCTGGAAACAAAACCCTTGCGACAAGAAAGCTGCAAGGCATCCTCGCAAAGGACACGTGGACCCACTGGGTTCCGTTTGTCAGGAAGGGAAGAGCAATCCACTAACCCCGAGCGACACGAGGGGCTGCGGCCCGGGCAGAGCGGGACCCCGGCCCAGGGAAATCCCTTTCGCACCTGGTGAAAACAGCCTTCTCGTTTTTAGCATCCATAGTCAGCTTGATGGTCTCCTGGCCTGAGCCCGTGCTGATGGTTTCCGTGACGATACCAGCTTTATCCTCCTCCTCGTCGCTGTCGGAGCCTCCAGAGGAGCTGCTGTCTGAGGCCACCAGCGGCGCTTTCCTCGTGACACAGACGTTCCAAACACAGGGAGAGGCAGCGCTGACTGAGGAAAGTAAATAATTCCCATTGCAAAATGAACAGAACCACTGGAACAACTCCCCAGGTACAACCTCGGGTAAGTAGGGTGGTTCGAAATTGGGTGTTTACAACCACTGCAAATTTAGAGATTATGGTTTCTGTGCAGATCCCACAACAGGCAACATTATTTTTGTAACTAAGGAGGAAAAAACCCAACTGGGCAAATCAGTGTTCTCCACCTGCCACCTCCCGTCCGCGTTTGACACAAACAGCAGAGGAGACTATTTTCTTCAGCTGTTGAATGGTGATAACTCTGAATGGAGAATTAAGGCACTTCCCAGGGTCCCTGCTAACTTAAACGTAGCTCTGCGGACTCGTGGTACGATTTAAGCAGCTGTACTTTGAGGTGTGCATTGGTTTCAATTCCACACGTGCCTGCCTGGCAAGGAAAAAGCCTCCCCTGGAAGCCGGGAAGCAGCGTTGCAGCCTCAGCCAGGTTTTGTCTCCCCAGAGCTGGTACCTGCTCACCCAGGTGGGTGCAACGCCCAGCGCCCGACTGCGACCGCTGCCCGGGCAGGCTTTGCCTGAGTTACTGTTTTAACAGATTGATCTCTGTACAAGAGAGGCTCCAGGCAAGAGAAGGCAGATGACACTGGAGGGAAGTTCTCCCTAGTCGACTTGGCACGCCATGCAAAATTTCAAACAGCTTAAATAATATATCGGTTTTGTCTTGTAACATTTTCACTTACAGTTCTTGTCCTGACTCTGCTTCGGGTTTCCGTCTGAATCACTGCTTTCCGTGTCGACAGGAGAACTGCATCGTGGACCTGATTCTGAGCTAAAGTGGAGGGGGAAAAAGCTTTGAGAATGAAGTACAGATATCTTGGTTGTGCTTCCGAATATCCCCATCATTATGATGGGGATATATAATACATATATAATTATTATATTAGCCCCTATATCATTGGGGCTATTATATTACCTCCTATGTTATTAGGGGCTACGCTTACTTCACATAAATATTTGTAACTTCTAAAAAATGTGTTCATTTACTGATTTTATACTCCCAGTGTAGCAGCAATGATGACACATGAAGTACTGCTGTACCACATGAGCTGAATGCTAACACCCGTTAGAAGCACTGGAAGGCAAAGGGGAGTATGAAGCTCTGATCCAGAATACTCAGCTAATATCAAAGAACAAAAGGGGTAGCAAGGGGAAGGGAAAGGGAAGAAGGAAAGATTATAGTCGATGGACTCCATCAAACCTTATTTCAACTGGTCTTCCATTCACAAGTTGTAAGGAAATGGAAAGAACGCGCGCCTCTTACCAACAGAAAGGCTGGAAGTCTGTGAACTTTGCCCACCCCTTCTCCTCCGGCGCGCTGTGCTCCGCGGCTGCTGAATCCCAAACGCTCGATCCAACGTCCATGGCAACACAGGGTGCGGGGGGCTTCGAGTTCACGGGCTCGAACACAGCCGTCCATCCAGACCCTGGAGACACACAACAACGCACTGGAATTCCCGCGAGCCCGTGGAACCTCTGGCCGTCCCCAAAATACTCCAAAGCGAGCCCCGAAACCAAAAAAAGAGAGCCCATCCAACGGCACTCGTTTGGAATCTACAGGAGCTGGCTGTCGCACAGGTTAGAGACAATCAGCTTGAAAATCCCTCTCCTGATAAATATTAATGCTACCTACAAGAGAGGAGCATCAGTTAGGAAAACTGACATTATGAACATCCGCATTCTTTGAGCCAGGGATTTTCAGCTGAACTCTAAATACTCCTGTCCAAAGCTAAGTGGCACGGCTTTCTCACCATTTCAGTCACTAACTGTTTAACTTCGGCAATTACGGGGAAGGAATCGATACGTGGATTGAAACGTTTAAGATCACAGAGTGGTCTTGAGCAAAACTAAGAACATGATTTTGGTTTTTTACCGCCCCAGCCTCCTCGTTCATTAGAACATCCTTCTATTCCTAAAAATCGCAGCTTTTTAAAAAGCACTTTTCATTACTTTTTTTCTCAAGAATGAGAAAGAATTGCAGAGGTCTGTTGTGCAAACTGATTTGCGTGCAACAAAACTGAGAGCACGAGACATCCACCAAGTCCACACTCACTCAAAAATTAAACCAAAATTTGAACCGAGGTCTCGAGAAGGGTAACTAACCTGACATGCACTACCCACAGGCTGCCATTTGCGTGGTTTATACCAGTTCTTCCTAACAAGAATTGAAAATATCTGACACTACCAAACGGGCGTAGAGCTGATTACTGGAATAAATACCCATTATGCTCTCAGTTACAGTACAAAGATCTCACCTAGAAAAAGAAACATTTTTAAACTGAAAAAGCTTGCACCGAACAAGGAACGAACGTCAACACTTTGGTCCCTTTGTTCCAGCTGCCTGAACTCGTGCTGCTGACCACACTGTGTGTCCCGTCAAGTTGCACAGCTTTATCTGCATTGTGATCTGGGAAACCCCTGTCCCTCTGCAGCGCTCCTCCGGGCACGGGAAGAGTGGGGTCGCAACATGCAGCCCAAGACTGGAAAGGCGGTTAGGCAGAAAAGGCAGATACGTGGAGTGGGAGATACCTGGCAAGGGTCTGCCTAAAACTCTTAGGATAAAATGTAAGGAGCTAATTTCATAATCCTCCATTGATATTTCGCTCACTGGTAGTAGTATTATTGCACTTGTACCTGTGTGGTTGCCTTAGCATAACCGAAGCATCACACTGCTATTCTGAAGGAGCCGGGCAGGGCTCAATCTCACTAATATTTCGGAGGCAAAAAATGAAGACTGAAATTCACATTTCTCATCTGCCCAGGTGGAATTATAGAACAGCCATCGAAACCTGGCAAACTGCTCTTCTGCAGAGACGATTACAGATCTCGTTGCAAATGGGATGCTGTTTTAAACTCTTTACCTTCAGAGGAGTCAGAGTCTTTCTGCTCAGAAGTATTATTCTTGTTGTTGTTTGCTGAGGAAGGAGGCGGCTGCTGTTCTGTTTCCTCCTCTTCTTCAGAGTCCACGCTGCCATCATGATCTCCATTCTCAAGATCACTTTTTGACGAACTCTCTGAGGTCTGAGATGCTCCAAATCTAAACCACAGAACTCAGAATCAGCAGAACCCTTAGAGCAGCCAGCTCATCCCTCACCTGCTTCCTCCCTGCTCCAGGGAGAAAGCACAACCTGCGAGCTGACCCAGTGAGGCTGAATGCCTTTTGCAGGGCCTATTCCCCCAAAGATACAAAGCTCAGGCAGGCAATAGCAGGCACTCCTCTAGATATTTCCACTGAAGTCCCTGCGTGCTTTACTTGTCAAAACGCATCAGCAGAGTTGTAATGGGCAATACACTGCACTGACATATTCAGGGCTGGAGATGGATCTGAGCTGACAAAACAGTCACAGCCGAGAGGAAGGCTAGTGTGGAATCAGCTCCGTGTGCGAGCAAGACATTCAGCTTACTGATGCCAGGCAAATAAAAGTTAAGGTCTTGGCCATTTTTCCTGTCTCATTTGATCATGTTTTCAGACTCAAAATTACAGAGATAACTTTATTTAATAACTGATTACATCAAAGGGATGGAAGAGCGTAAGCGATCTGCAATGCCAGAGACGCACCACGGGAGGTCACTCATCCTCATGCAAAACATGACTTTTCTTCTTCTAACCTTCTGCAAAAGAATATTCTGCCTACTACCCTTGGTCTTACAACTTCATCCTCCTCCTCTCCAAATATGAGGAAAGGAGTAAGTTTATTTCAAACTAAGGGTGTTTTTTTTATAAAATATCCTTGATAATAGACTCAGTAATTAGGTGTTTCCATCATTACTGCACTCCCTCAAATTGCATCTTTGTTTCACATTCAAGACAAATGACCACCTCTTTCTGCAGAAATGTGACATGGAAAGCACTCTGCTTTATGCCAGAAAAAGGCCCCACAGCACATAATTAACAAACAATAAAGCATGCACTTAAGCGAAATGTCCTTTCATAGCATTTTGCAAAGGAAAAAAATAAAATATTGTTCTTTTGTTTTCACCTTACCGTGTTCTTGATTTAATTTGGGTTGCATAGGTTATCTCCTTCTCTTCCCAGATATCTTCTTCCTCCTCATTATCATCAAACTGTTGGATCCGCTCATTGCAGCAGGCTTCAAAGAGGGAAGCATTGGGCTAAAATAGTATTAAAAAGCAATCAAATTCCATTCCTTCTTTGGAGACAGAAGCAAGAACTCCAACGACGAGGAAGTTCACAGAAAGGCATCTGTACACAACCAACACCACGAAGGTGTGAGCATTTATTTCACTTTACATCCCAAGCTGTGCAACGAGCAATGGTCAGCTGTGGGAGAGTAAGAGCAGCACAGCACGCTGTGCTGGCGGGCCAAGAAAGCAACAGAGCGCTTATCTCAGCCTCCACTGCTCCCAGAGCAGCAGGAGCCCTGCTGCTTCACAGCTGCTGTGTGACATGACTCCCTCCCTACCCCGCGGAAGAGGGCTGGAAACAATTCCCTCAGGAATGCACTTGCCAACGGAGCGGTTCAGTTTGGAACTCGGAGGCTAAGGCGATGCCACGTCTGCCAACTGTCCCGCTGGGACTAACAGCCCACAGCGCCATTTCTTTCAGTGACCGCCTTCTCCTCGACAGAACTGCGGGGAGCTTCGAAGCAACTTAACTCATGTGCACCCCCCCCTTCAAAACTCAGAACCTTCCACTCCGGCAAAGAGAGTTTTCAGGCACCGGCAAGGTGGGGGATCCCCACAAATGCACACAGGCTCTGCCCATTTCAGCGTTCTGGGATCTCTCGGTTAGAGGGCTAAGTGGTGACTTCCAGAGGGTGCACAGTCCAAACCAATAGCTGCATTAGAATTCCAGCACACACAAAAACTGCCTACTCAGGAAAAAAACAAGTTAGGATAAGAATATAAATAGCTATTGGTGGCTGTAGACTTAGCTGGCAGATTCAAAACGAAAACAAATTTTCTGTATCTGTAGAGGACTGTGTAGAGCAGCCAGAAGAGAGAAGAAAAACTCTATTGTGGTACTGTTTAAGTCAAAAAGAAAGTATTTTAGGACTAAAGAAACTTAAGTCTTGGTATTGCCAACAAGCAGCTTCGGCCAGGAGGTGAGTCTGGAATTGCCTCCTTCAGGCACTGCCCAGCTCCTCCGGTGAGTACTGACCGAGGTCCATCAGACAAGGCAGGACACGGCACGGCAACATTTAGACCCCTCAGAAACCCAGTCCTCTCTGCTTGCGTTTTGTCCTTGTCTGGATGGAAAGGTTATCAAAGTAAAATAGGGACAACAGATTCACACTGAGGAGAGAGAGAGAGAAAGTCCTTCAGCGTAGAGACCTGTTTCTGAAGATCCTCCCCAAAGCTGTGAGCTGTAGGGAGACTCTCTGAGGGTACGTGGAACGCCCTGAGTTCCTTACCGGGACTCGGCTACGAGGACACCTACCAGTGACCAACAGAGCATACCAAATCTTTTGTCTTTCAAAATGACAACAGCCGATTCAAGCATAACCTTGCCAGAATCTGTCCTATTCAATAAATATCCCAAAATACCCACTTACACTGTCATCGTCTGCATCTATATTGAAGTTGATCTCTGCGATCCTGTCAAAGGGAGCACTGCAAAAAGAAGGGAAAGAACCTTCAGTGATGGCACGGAGTAACAAAGCACTTTTGCCTCCCCACACAAAGCCAGAGGATAGCTCCCCACGGAGACACTTTATATGACCACTCAATGACTTCTGCGTTTTCTCCCTGAATATTCACTTCTGTATTAGGTGCAACGGTCCCATTGAGACGAAAGATTATTTCAGATTTTCATTCTTAGGTCTGATTTAATACCCAAATGAACAACCTTTATCATTATCTTTTTGATAGGGGATTTTGGGACCTCATGGCAACCACAGCAGTGTCTGGCTGTTACTCTGCAATGCTCATGGTACCTACAGAGCAAAAAGGCTACCTTCATTTTTTTTTACTGAGTCTCCAGCTGAACCAAATCTTATCGAAACAAACCCAAATTCATAATTAATTAAAAAGAGGAGGAACTGCGCCCAGCTGCTCTGGAATTCCAGTCCTATGTTCACCCAAGAATTACGCTGGTCCCTCAGCATGAGACAATACCCGGAGGCGGTACTGAATCCCGCACGGTGGCCATGTGTCCAAAAACATCCAGAAGGGACAGCCCCTGCCTGCTCTAACACAATCACAGCAACTTCAGTGTACTAGTGGCTCAACAATCCCAATGCATTACTAAGACAGGGACACTCCAAAAATCATTAAATAACCCAATCTGGGATCTAGAACTAAGAGAGTCTCCTGTAAGAACAGCAGAGGGTGCTGCACGTCAAAAAACTCCAATATACTAGCACAGTTTGGGTCAATGCAGTAGTTTTTTCACCATATCCGCATATATCTAAGTTAAACAGTGGTTTGGTTTTTTAAAGACGACTGTTCAGTTGGTAAAATATACTGTCATGTAATCACTGGGACACTGAAGCATGATTAATACTTCTTAAAATATTCACATTCCTATCTGAAACAGTTTTCAACAGCTGGAACACAGATGACAGGGAGCGCCGCTCAACGTTCGGCGCCAGAACAGTTTTGTGGCACGTTCCTCTTTTTATAATCACAGATACAGAGAAGGCTACATCCCAGTAACACACCCCAGTCACAGATGCAGTTCAGTTTCATGTCCTTTTTAGAATGGACATTAGATTCCTTCAGCAGCTCCTCACGTAAGTTAACTCTCCCCCTCCAGCCACACACACGAGTTCAGTATTTGCTGCTATCTGATAACATGAAGTGCATCTTATTTGTAAAAAACGCGTAGAACCAAGTAATCCATGTTCAGTTAAACTCTCATTCTAGCCTGGAACTTTCTGACCTTATTAAAGTTCTGACACCTACAATGCTCAGAAAAAAAAAGACAGGAAAGCTGGACTCCAAAAACATATCTCCACGTTAGAAGACAGTTCCCAACCACCTGTCCATCGCCTTAACGGAGCTCCCAAGACCCTAAGGATCTCGTGACTCTCTACTTCGGTTCATGCCTGAAAGCAGCTCTGAAGCAGCCAAACTACTTCCACGACGTCCTTTCATTTAAGGTATTTCACGGAGCCCATAGCTGCTAAAAATACGGTCTGCGCAGAGCCAGCAAAGGAACCCTCCAGGAAACGAACGTCGCCACACGGGGAAAGGGAACGGGCAGGAAACGCGCCGGGGATCCTCCCGGCACCTTTCTGCCAGCACATGTACGCTAAACGGTCACAACTTCTGCACCGTTCTGGGCAAGCGGGGTAACTGCAGTCCCAGCCGTTTCCTTAGCTCCGGATTTTAAGGGGAGAAGATGAACTGCGGTTTTAATTGGATTACAGTGGTTCTTCTATAGAAGCAGCACAAATTCCAAACCCTGAATTCAGCAAGTTGCGTAGCATTAAACCCACCTATATCTGCCTCCTTTGAACTGTTATTTGCTCCTGCCTTATCTACGTTTCCTTTTTCATAAGAGAAAATGGCTAAATTTTTCCACGGACTTCATCAGAACACTATTCTCTCCACTCCTAAATTCAGTAAGGACTTAATGCCACTGGAGAATATCTGTATAATTGCCCAGTTAACTGTAATGCTTTGCTTTCTGTGCAATTAAATTTATTCTAGAATATGGCTGGATAGTATTTGTGTGTTTTATTCAAAATTAAGAAGTAGTTTTCCCTGGTTCTACAACTGTCTTTGAAGACTGGGGTGGACTCCTGTGAGAAGAAAAAAGGGTCATCTGTTTCCCAAGCCATTGATCAGTCCTTTGTTTCAAATCAAAGGAGGTAAAGAGCAAACTTAATCTTAAAACCTGAACCAGGAGAAGGAAGATTAGATGCAAAGAGGCTTAAATGCTAGACATAAGCTTCCTGAAGTTTTATAAACTTACTTGATGTTATCATCCTGGTCTGCAAACTCCTCATCGTTAAAGCCAAACTGATCCACAAAGTTAGCTGTCATCTGCTGGATCTGGTACTCAGAGAAGGCCTGAGCAAAGGAACCCAAAGAGAGCTATCATTAAGGGGCCCACAGATACTCGATTAAGCTGGCTGAAAACACATATTCTAGAAAAGCATTAGTATCACAGAAAACTATCGCACTTTGAGAAATCATCTACCCCAACCCTCCTTCTCAAAGCAGGATCAGACTTCTGCAAGTCCTGGGTAGATGCTTCTCTGATCTGCTCTTAACTTCTTCCAAAGAGAGTTATGAAATTCTCCTAGGAAACCATTTGTTGGCTTCATTTTTGGATTGGAACACTGTATTGTTTTCTTGTAATTTCTTTGTTTTCCCCTGATGCAATATGGCATTTACCTTGCTGCAACTTAAAACCCACCATGGCCATCAAGAAGGTACTTTTCACTTCCTCTACACCCTCTTCCTTGTAGGATGAGGCACACGTCTCCATGTAATCCTGTCTCCTCTTAACCAAGCGGACCATATCTTTTCAACTTTTCTTCCTATGCCACGTTCTACACCTCCAATCACTCTCATTACTATCCCCTAGCTTACCTTTTGTCAAAAAAAAAAAAAAAAAATCACTTGAAGTTCACTGACTCCAAGACGTTCACCAAGAAGAATGGAAAAACCACTCCACGTCTTTGAGACAACACTCCCACGTATCATGATGTTTGGTTGCCCACAGCAGCTCGGGTCTTCGATTTTTCAGCTTGCTCCCCAGGATAATTGCCCAGATATGCTTTTGGTCATATTCTTGCCTACTCATCCATGCCTCATTCTCTATTTATGAGAAGGATTGCTTCTGCCTCCAAATAGGATCTCACACTTGCTCTTATGCACTGCATTTATTTTCTCCAGATCACTTCTCCTATTTGCCAGATAATTCTGAATACTGGTAGGTAGCCTGCTCCAGCTACAGCTAAGTAATTCAGACATGCATCTCTGCAGCTGCACTTTGTTGTGACTCCACTGCAGGTGTCTGAGGGGTTCTGCAGGCTCCTGTCAATATTCCTATTGATACTTGTAACAATAAAAGACAAATCATTGGGGGGGTTTTACAAAGGCAATGCATTTTCCCTTTTTAAATGCACTTTCTAAGCATTAGCTGAGGAAAAGAAAGGTATTTGTAATGTCAGCGTAGCCAGTTATTTTGGACAAAAGAATAACTATAAACTATTTTCAGCTCATTTTCACCCGAAACTAGATTTCAGATTGAGATTGTCTTTTACTCTCCATCGGCGGCTTCCTACTAAACAGGCTGACACCCAGATGTTCTGCTAGTGCTCTTTATGTTCTTAGCATCAAAAAAAGTTGGAAGAACTTGTCATAATACTTCATCCTGAAAAGCAGCTTCCATGTATTTGATGGACCTTTAGCAGAGTACCTCAGATTTTAAGGATCCTGAGATCTTTGCTAAATGCAAGTGAACCCTTAATTACCTCACTTTCTTTTTACTGCTCTTACTGCTAACATTTTCGTATGGCTCTTTCAGATTTCAAGAGAAGTTTGCATAGCCCAAGAGGAGGCAGAAGCCCTCTGTCAGCACCAGTGCTACTACAGGTGGGTGATGCACACCACCTTGCTGGCTGGCAGCTACAGCAACCCACGGCAGCTGGTCTGCAACCTCAGGAGCACCCACCCAGCCCCCCGGTGAGGGGAGAACCAGGAAAAGAGCAAGAGACACGCAGAGCCGTGAGGCACCTCGTGTATCTGGGACTTGCATGCAGTCTGAGCCGAATTTATTCCCAACTGGAGTCCAGACCATGTAAGTAACTATTCTGGAAAAACACAAAAGAGCTGAACACACTGCCTGAGAGTAGAATTTAGGAAGCTGCTCTATACTAGGATGGCTTAAGGGCCAATCAGAGAAGCAAACGTTCCAGGAATAGTGAAGCACATCTTGGCAACTCACCTGTTGGAGAGAAAGTTCATTGGGAAAAGCACTCTCAATGTCTTCATCCTCACTGGAAGAGTGCAGATGGTGAGTGCTCACCTGAAAAAAAGTACAAAAAAGTAAGTACAAGTAAAAACTAAGAAAGCTCAAATACATTTGTTCCATTCATACAATCAAAGGCCAAACTCCTCAGAAGGCAGAAACTGTCCCAGTCAGTAACACAGAAACCTGGAGTTTACCAACATGTATCAGAGCTCGTGCTGCTTGAAGAACTACTATGGAATATGCTTTCTGCAAACACTCTGCCCTTGTAAGCCTACTTGATAAAAACAAGCAAAAGAAGATAAAAAAACAGCAATACAACTTTTTTTTTTTAGTTAAAGACAGTCCAGAAGACAGCAAGCCTATCCGAAATATGCACAGTATCATTGTTCTCACCAAATCCACTGTATTCCTCCTGTTTGTTTCCGTCAGCGTCTCTTCTACAAAACTCTCCCATCTCCCTCTACAATCTTCAGGTAGCTCTGTAACAGAAAGGTCACCAGAAAGGTTACCACAACTCAGTGAGAAGGGATCAAAGCCCGACATTCAGCCCCACTGGTTACCTGGAAGTTTCTGAGCAGACACATACACCTGCACAGGAGCTAAGTAATGTATGCATTATGTAAGTGCTCTGCAAAGTGAATTACATTTTACTTGTGATTTTCTAAAAGTGGTAAATTCTGCAGAGAAAGGAACATCATTCATTAGGCCAACCAGTAAGGTATTACTGGTCTTAACAATCTTAACTCAACTTGTGGAATTACGGTGGGCTACAGATACAAAAACTTCTACTACAACTTTCTGAACACCAGCATACGTGTGATTTAAGTTCTACTTCTTCTTCCTTTTCTTTCACGGTGATTGTGGTGGGTTGACCCCAGCCAGCAACTAAGTTCCCACCCAGCTGCTCGCTCACTCCACCCCACAGCGGGATGGGAGAGAGAACTGGAAGACCAAAAGCGAGAAAACCTCATGGATTGAGGTAAGTTTAATAAGTGGAAAAAAGAAGAAAAAAACCCACCACCGACCAAAGTTCAAAGGCACTGGCTCACCGCCTCCCGGCCGCAGACTGATGCTCAGCCCGACTCTGAGCAGGAGCCACCTCGGAAAGGCTGTCCCCCCAGTTCCTACTGCTGAGTACACGGCACGGAGCTGCTGTCCTGGCCAGGAGCCCTCCCAGCCTCTCCTCCACCCCCAGCTACTCGCAGCGGGGCCCGGGGGGGGGATGAGAAAGCCTTGGTGCTGTGCAAGCACCGCTCAGCAGAGCTAAACCAGAGGTGTGTGCCCAACAGCATTCTAGTCACAAACTCCAGACACAGCACTGCGAGGCTGCTGGGAATCACGTTATCTTCAGTCCAGCCAGACCCAGGACAGCAAAACAACAGAGAGAAATAACCAGGACTTGTGAAACTTTCAGTCTTTACTGAAATATTTATAACTTCTCAATTTTAATGTAGATCTGACAACGCACCGATAACAATAGTTACTATATTACCATTTGATATGCTCATTAGAAGCCAAAAACAGAAACTCAAGCCGTATTTGTGCTCATTGTTTCCCTTAATAGATGCAGATGGAAAATCTTATTTCCTCTAGCACAAAAATGTCAGATAGAACTTGTTCTCAAAATGAAGTCCAGCAAAGATACGATGGACAAAGCCTGGCAACATGAGTATCTCTGGCAAAGCGGAGGCGTAGGGCCACTGTCATCATTTACTCTGGCGTCCCTCTTCCTCCCAGACAGGTGTAAGAATAAGGAAGTACAGAAACACCACTTACAAACACCACCCTAAAATGCTGTAAATAAGCACTATAAACATACACATAAAACTGGAAAAAAAGAAGCATTCTTTAGCACAAAAAGGATACCTTCGGTCTCTGGTTGCAAAAACAAAAGTTCCGACAATTACGGTGTAATTGTATGAGAACAAAGAGCAACCAAATTTGGCCCAGACATTTTTTTCTAAGTTATGGGAAATTGTGATAATTTACTGGAAAAATCTTTTCATTATTCAAAGTGACCCTCATGAAATACATGCAGTAAAAGTCTTTCCAAAAGGCCCGCAAGGGTTATTTAATCAAGGTTAAAAAAAAAAAAAAAAAAAGGGATGGAGAAAGGAGCATGTACAAGGAATGGAGAAAGGAGCACGTACCTTTAATGAACTCACTAATTTGAGTCTGCATCGGGCCCTTCTCCATATTCTGCACTACAGCATTGGCTATCCGGGTGAGGTGGCCCATATTGCCTCGCCTCATTCCGCCTTCTGCCCTGAAAAGAGAAAACAGCCAGTAGCAACAAGAGGAGGGACGAGGAATCCCAGCGCCCCCGTCATAACCGCTTCCACCATCCAGGCAGGGGCAGAGCTCCCGGCAGACACGCACGCGACCCCACGCAGGGCTGGTACCACAGATGCAGCAGGGACGTGGCAGCAGTGCCCTCTGCTCGTGCAGGCGGGCACGTGAGCTGGGTTTGCCCAGAACAAGTGAACCTTCCTGCATCTGCTTCGTGTGTTGAGAGGGAAGAGAGCGCTCGTCCAGCTCAGAATACACCAGGTAAAATTTAAGCCCATTACAAAGAAGCAGCTAATGGGGTACACTGAAACACCACTGCAGAAATAAATAATCTGATAATAATTTCCACTAGAGAAAACTCCTATCAGTAAGAATGTGCATCACTATTACTGAAAAAGCTCTGGAGTTTTACTCGCAATGGAAGTATTAAGCAGATGAATTCAAGAGAACAAAAGGCACTAATGTAAAACCATTAGATTTCCCCCTTACCAAAAAAATATAAGCAGCTAACACTAAGTCCAAGCAGTCTCTAAGCCACTTTTCTTTGAATCTTCACTGGTGGCTCTTCACTAGACAGCAAAGAAGCAATCTAAAAATCAGGGGATGAAAAGCCTGAAATAATTCTGCTTTCACGGTATCCAAAGGAAGACTGATGAGATTTGGGAAGAAAAATGTAAGCCCTAGTGGCAGATTCCCGGGAAGAAACTTCATAGTACCACATTTAGAAACAGCATTTCTGCCTTCAAACTGGCAGGTGCTGAAAAGAAGCCCAGACAAAACTCTTACATGCAATGCTATTCTTCATTGGGACGTTATGCACGTTAAACTATCCCAAATCCTGAAGTCAAAATCAGAAATTACTACTTCTTGATGCAGCACAAGGAGCAGGCAAAAGGTTGACTCAAGCCACCACAAATAAAATTGGTGGGTGAGAATCAAACTAAACAAAAATGACCCCCCTACAAACAGGATAACAAGACATCTCCACCTCACGTTACTAAGTCTCCAGCTGCAAGCCAAAGCTCGCTCTCCTAGTTGCTAACAGAGCCAACGCATAATAAAGACTTTAATTTTCCCTTGGGAGAAAGGAAGACACTAAATACAGTAAATAAAGTTAATTTTGAGGTGGCATGCTGCTGTGCTCCCGTAAATTCTTCTCTACCCTTGCTGGGGGATGTGTGTGCAGTGGTCTCAGCTGCCAGGCTGGATACAGCAAAGCCAGCAGACTGGGTCAGCTCTCCTCATCACCTCCAGTTACACCTACCTTGTAAGGTTGGTTGGGTTTTGTTTTGTTTTTTTTTTTTTTTTTAGTGTCCTCCACACCCCCTGAAAAGCATAATCATCACTTCCTGAATCTCTACAAAGGATAAGTTTATACTGAAATCATCTCAGGCTTTCCCCTAATGTTGGAGCTGAGGAGACTACATGGTTTGGGAAAAAAAAAAAAAAACCCCACTCCTACCCTTCCACACGGTTCTGTACCAAAACCAGCGCACAAAGCCACGGCCAACGCTACGCGCACAGATTCCCCACAGCAAGGACAGCGCTCCAACCCCGACCTCGGCGTTCGGAACTGTTCAGAGAAAACCAACCCCTGGAAAGGAGGCCCCAGCGCCGAGCTGCAGCCTGCCGCACGCGCTCGCGGCCCACCCTGTGGCAGCTCCCGCCCCGGGCAGAGCCGAGCGCCCCGGCCCCGGGTGGGACCCCCCCCGGCCGGGAGCCCGGGGCTCCCCCGTGCCCACGCAGGCACCCCCGGGACGCGGGGCCCGGCCCCGAGCTGCACGGGAGGACAAACCCCCCCCCCCCCCCCGGCAGATGGGGCGCAGGGACCCAGCGCTCTCCTCCTGCTCGCTAGAAAAACAACCGGTTTTCAGCAAACGTGCAAAGCTCAGCTTTCTCCAAGATTTGAAGTGTGCGGTGACAAAAGCAGTGTACAGCAATGCTGCGTCTGTCTGCCTGGGTTGTACGCTCTGGGAGGCCCTGGGCGGTTTTTTTTTTTTTCTGAGTTGAGCAGTCCTTAACACACTGCTGGAACGCAGGCAGCAAACATGCAAAATTAACTTTTATTCAACACTTTCAAGTAACTTTTATCAACCACGCCACAATTGGTGGTTACTACATTTACAGGAACAGGAGGGCAAGCAAAGATGTGCTACAGTAAACTGATGTTTCCTAGAAACTCACATTGATAACCAGACTTACTTTATTTTAAATTCTAATTACCCAGGCAGATCAAATGGACTGCAGTAAAAGAATTACGTGGGTTACCCAGAACTTAAATTCTAGTAGTTATAAAGTCCTTCACCAAGAATATATGGAGTAACTAAAACTAAGAGAACCCAAGGAGAAATTCCATGTTCCAACAGGAAAAATATATCACCACCATTCTGACTGATGATTTTAAAGAAATAACTCCCAAGCTCTAAGTTCAGAATCTCTGATGCTGGGCCTCCCAGTGCTTGACTCCATCTCCTCACTGAGAGTGTACAGTAATTTTCACATAAACTCAAAGCTCCTTAAAGCACACCATCTGAGATACCTCTCATTAACTCAGTATTTTTTTCTTGCCATTAAAATTCTTTCCAATGTGGTGACTGGAACTGTTTGGCATGAAATATGCATGAGCTCTAGTACCTATCTAATTTAATTAGATTTAACTCTTAAGAAGCAACTACAAATGTTTCTGTTACGTACAAAACTGTGCACAATGATAGTTGTGCAATGAAACTACCAGCAAAATTTGTAATCGACAGCCTAAGGGGTTGCAAGAAGGAAAAAACAAAGAAAACCCAACCCAACCAACCCAAACCAACAAAAAATCAAACCAAAACCCAAGCTACCAATTATATCCTGACAGTAAGCCTAAAATAATTACAGGGGGAGCACAAAGAACTCTGAAGCCATAAAGAGCTCAAAATAGTGCGAGAGGACCAAAACACTTAGATGGACAAAGAAACAGAAGCTTTGCTAGTATTTTCACTTTAATACATCCTAGGTTTTTTTTTAATGATTTACTTCTTACAGCCAGCATGAAATCCAAGTGTTTTAGAAAGTCAGAATATTAAATGCAGGGCAAATCTGGGACAAAAATGCTTGCCCACCTCACTTTTCACACAGCTGCTCACTCTAGGGACAACATAATTATGCATTTAAAAAAAAAAAAAGTTGATATGTAATTTCCTGAGAAAGCAAGAAAGAAGCATAAAGTGTGTCTGGGTTGAGATGTTATACACATTGAAAAAATAAATCATGCTTTCAAATCGTATTTCCATTTGGTGAATTTGGTTTTTAACATGCAAATAATCCTAATTCCAAACTACAATCAAAATGCAAATCATTTTAGACCCATTAAGTTATAAATTATGCAGATAAGTGAAAGAATTTTTCAAGGCAATATTCTAAATCTGCAGCCTAAAACAAAGACCTTCCGAACCCGAAATCCCTTACTGTATTTTGTCATTGGCTTCCCAGGCATCCAATATCCTTTGCACTAGGCAGCATTTCTGGAACAGCTAGAGGGAAAAAAAAAAAAAAAAAAGAGATAGGAAGAACATTTCAAAAGTCTGCCAAAGTAAGACTCATGCCTTAGGAAGCCTGTACTGAACTACAGTTACTTTTGCTCGTTCCTTCACTCCTACTGAACAAGAACTTAAAGTTCAGCACTTATCTTTCCCAAGAGCTCAAGTTTCTTCTTTCTCAATTTTTTTATCAGAGGATCCAGGGAAAACAGCAATACCTATAAACATCTTCAGCCTGCTTTGGGGCTTCACATGAGCAGTAATGAAGAACATTGTTGTCATCTTACAAACACAACAAAAAGTTTTCATCATTAGGGCCACATGCAGAAGCTAAAATGTAGTTAGCTAGTTGTAGTTACAAATTTTTTTTTTTTTGTCCAAAGTTTATATGCATCTTTACTAAAAAAAAAAATTTTTAAAAATGGATTCACAAGCCCATTAAATGAGATGGGTGGTATGTTTACTTTCTAGCTGGATGCTAAAAACCAATGTACAGAAGCAAATAGACTTCCATCCAGAACTGACAGAGCCGATTACATCTGGACACGTTTAAATAAACCCCATGCCCTTGAACAGTTCGTCATACCAATCTCTTGTTAATGCATATGCAGGCTGAATCAATCAGTCGAAAATTCTCAGGTGACACGACCAGACTTACATGAGTAACCATGATATTCTCGGTATTGTTTTCTGGAGTCTCTGAGATCTCTGTGGCCACATTTCCATTCAGCACCTCTTCTTTGCTTTCTAGGTCATTAGTAGTAGTTTTTCCCTCTTGCACAGAGTGTGAGAGAATAGCTGCTATGGACAATTCCACTTGGAAATGCAAAAAGTTATTCCATGTGTATTTAAAAAATAAGTCCTGGGAAAAAATGAGGAACAAAAGAATTCACTCTAGGTACATCTTACCGTTTGTAACACTCAAATGGCATCAGAACACTGCCCAAGTAGTTGTTTAATCAGCAATTCCACTACAACAATTTTACTTATATGCCCCAGTATCCACTTATGGCTGGATGTATTCTCTTTGCTTTGCTCTAACGTGCACTCCCCTATAAACTGAGCACACTGGAAATACCCTCGTACGCAGACAGGGCTCACAGCACAGACATATTAAAAAAAAAAAGTGTTATCTATTCTGTGGCAGAATTAATCATAAGAAAAAATATTAACTAATTTCTAAGTATAAAAATAGTTTTCTGAAAGACTGTCCTGGTTATAGTGGCAGTTTTCAGAACATGTCCCCGTTCACAGCTAGACAAGAAGGTCAGCTCTCAGTATGATGAGAGCTGATATACACAACGTACCCAAGCCTTCTCAATAACCAGACTATTTTGCATACTACCAAACAACTGTAGCAATAAACGTGAAGCATGAGGTTCAGTTCAAAATGCTAAGCAACCGTATTTGTATTACAAAAGCTATTCTGAGGATGGACGTTCCTACTTTCAGTAGATTAGAAAAATAATTCGAGACTGGCACAGGTGAAACAAACTACCTTGCACTGAACAGACGAAAGGGAAAGCAAAAGTGTTCCCAGTTTAAAGTTATTCCCCTCTCCCCATTCACAGTGTCACACTGTATCACTCACAAGTAATAAATCCATGGTACTGAGTCTGCATAGTTCCTGATTAATACTGGGAGTGTTTGTGTGAAGCAGAGCAGCTATTAGACGAGATCCGTGAAGACGAGCGTTCCCCAGCGGCTCCTCCAAGACACCAATTGTAGTTAGGATTGCTGTTTTCTATCAGAGAGACAGATGATGAGTACCGCTTCCTCGAGTGCATGCACACAATGATTCGACTAAACATAACTAGTTCGTTTCATAAATATTTTCTGTGGGTGAACTTAAACCATCTTGCCGCACAGAGGACAGTGTCGTGTGACCACCGTGAGACTTCTACTTTCAAAACTAAAGACTAAAATCCAAATATCCACTAAGTAAGAGTTCCTTTCTCGTCATCCCTTAACCGCCTTTACACAAGCCACCAGTCCCAACCTACCTCTCCTTCTTGGTTTGACTCGAACACAATGGCTCTCAAAATTCCTGCTGCCTAGTCCCTAAGCACCGGAACGATAAACTTTAAGCATGAATTTTCCTTCAAAAGACATCGGCCCGTGCCAGCACATGGCGCTTTCAGAAAATCTCCAGGAAGGACGGGGAAGCCCTGGCATGCAGGTGAGGAGCCCTTCGCCGCTGCGCAAGGCTGAGCTGCCCTACCTTGGGCGGGCTGAGCAGCAGCTGGTGGAAGTCCTTTAGCCGTGGTTCAATACCATGTAAGATGCTGCTGTTGACAGTGTAAGACCTTTCAAATCCCTGAGTGTATGAGTCCATCAGTCCTTCCACCCTGTGTGGAAGAAAAGCACAACCATTAAGATTCAACAAAAAATGGTTTCCAGTCACACCGGCCATGCTGGTAATTTTCTCTTGAAAAATAACTATAAATATGAAAAATAATAATGTCCAGCTACTGGATATAAACTACATTACATTAATATATCATTTACAAGATGATATTCACATAATCAAAACTGTGAGTGAGATGAGTGGGAAGATGGAGAATAAGCTGTCTGCAGAGCTGACAAAGACAAATTACGGAAGTGTTTCCCGGTGTCTGAAACTTCTCAAACATCTGAAAAGTAAATTACATCAGCAAGAGTTAACTATAAACATCTGTTACAACCTGTAAACCTTCCACAAGTGTTCAAAAAGTTGTACACAAACATACTAACTGATGAAAACCTTGAGCAGGCATGTAGCTGTGCTCAGAATCATACCTCTTTATTGGCGAGCAGTAAATTACAACCACCGGTACCAGCCCCTTCCAACAGTAGTCTCACATTGGAATAAAAGAAACGCTTTCATTTCAGTAACTAAATTTAATTCCAGCAAGAAAGGAATAGGCTAAATAGGAGCCCCTAAGCCTCCAACTCATAAATCTTCAGAGATCTTGGGCATAAGAAACAGCAGAAACAGTATCTCAACTTTTCAGTTTTAACTGCACATGGCTTTCTGACTAGCAACTTGTTTGCCCAGTGCCATCTTCTGTCCTGCTCTCCAGTACCTCTTCCTAATCTTCCATTATCTCCTTGACTCATCTTTATTTTCTCCTTTTTTAAAAATTGAGATTTTCAATGCTTCCCTCCCTCCCCAGAACTCTCTTTTGCCTTTTCTCTCCTCTATCTCCATAAAAAGAAATAAAAGCGGATATCATTTAAAAAAAAAATTTAAATTATACAGCCATATATATATATATGCACACATCATCACACAGATTACGCATGCTGCATCATATCCTCCCCCACTCTGCATACATCCTGCTGCAAGATCTCTGCTATTGCAGACAAGACTTTGCGGTACGCGTGGAAGAGAACTAGAGGAGCCCACAGAAGGGCCCAGCTGCCAACTGGTACAACTGCCACGAGGTACAGCCACTGCATCAGAAAACCCAAACAGTTCTTCTTGTACTTATTTCTAGACAGCACTTCACACTAGGCCAAAAAATTTCCTTTTTTGCCTAAGTAAAACTAGATTGGAGTTCCTAAAATTGTTCTTGCTAGGGAAGCAAGTGCTAACTTACCCAGAGCGCCTCGTTTCCAGCAATGTTAGAAGAACTTGTGTTCCGTTCACTATGCAATTTTCAGTCTGCTCTCCATCAAACATATTCTTCAGGAGTTGCTCCACACATTCCTGTCTGTTGATCAATGCATACACACAAGCAGTATAAGAATTAGAAGTATTTGGCAGTTGCTTTAATCATAAAATATCAACTTCTGGGTCTTCGGGACAAAAAGGCTGCCATTTTTCCTTTTTTTTTTTTTTTTTTTTTTTTCTTTTTTTTTTATTGTTTTGTTTTAAAAATAAAGATATTCCTCTCTAAAGTCTCATCTCATAAGCGTGGTTCTACACCAGATTTCTGAACTTGCCCACTCATCACTAAGGCAGGACCTGGTTATAGACACCTAGACTCCAAACCAAACTGTTGTTTTCCTTTATCAACAGGATACACCTCTTAGTTATAAACTGGAAGACAACCCAAGTGTTAGCTCAGTCAATTTAATTTATTAAAGACAATATGAAGCTATTAGCTGACAGTCTAAAATTATCCATCAGAATTGCAGAAGGCAGACAACAACGGTGGAAGTTGACCCTTGTCATTTGCCAGTGGCACAGGAAGGACTGGAAACAGAGGCCAACAAATGCAGGCTATAAACAATATGCACATTTTTAGTAGTCTCAGCTATTACACCCTTGAAATATTTTAATCAATTCACCGTCTCTGAGTCCTTAAACCAAGATAAGATGCCTTCCAAATACTGACAGACTCGGGGCCAGGTGCAAGGATCACCAAGTGAAGCGCTGAAGACTGCTGGAGTCAGAAGGAATGACGACATTGGTCCTTTCTAGCGCTCCCAGTTATTCTGACACGGCCTCAGAACTGAAGAACAATTAGCACAAGGTAACAGCCCGCTTTTCTCTCTACTCTTTGCCATGCTAAATGAATAATAGATACGAGGAATACGAGGTTCAGGCTGGCACTGTTGCTCATCTACAGTTACCGGGCTGCAGCAGTGCCTGCTCCCACCTCGCTGCTCAGACTCCTTCCCCATGCTAATTCTGCGGGTGTTAATGACAGTTCTCCAAAATCCAGTGCTCAGCAAGCGCCTTTCTTGGCTTGCCAAGTCACATGTCCAGCTAAAAACAGTATTACTCAAGTTCACAGTCTAATTTTGACTATTTTCTAACATTTGAAAAAATCTCATTTACATTTGTATAAATAAAATATGAGATAAAAATGTAAAATACATGAATAATGCATGAGATAGAATTATTTTAATAAGCAGCATCTAAATACACTCCATCAGCACAAGCACAAGAGGCAGAGTCAGGAAAAAGAAGTAACAGTTTACTGTGATTAACTGAATTCACTTTTATTGCATACAGCCAACAGTTATTGAAAATCCAGAGTTGATATTTATTCCGTAACCCTGATCACGACTCCTTTTTGTTGCACTAGCTGATCATTAATTCATGATTCATAGATTAAAAAAAAGTTATCCAAAGATCAAAAAAGGTTGCCAGCAATGCTTGGGAAGAGTGGCCAATAAAAGTAATGAGATGTGACCTTCAGCAGAAAGGCAAGTCATGCAAAAAATCACTTTTGTTCAAAATATTTTTTCTTCTAAGCAGTGAAGTGGTACACTGACTTTCACAAATGCTTTTTGAAAGCGCAGAAATGTTTTTATCTATCTCCTGGAAGTAACAGGCAGGGCCTGAAAACGTGCAAAGCGTATACACGGGGGACGCCAGGGCGGTGAGGGCGACGGGAGGAGGGGAAGAAGCTAAAGTCCATCTGAGTAAAGCACGAGCCAAACCTCAAGCGCCAGCTCTGTATTACACTTTGGACTGTCGAGGCAACTTGCTTCAATCCCACCACTGGTGTCCCAGGGGCTCTCCCAAAAGACCACAGGCAGCGACCTCCTGCCCTGCACACGGCGGGGCCCAGCGGCCCTCCCCAAAACTACGGCGACAGTCTCCAGCTACCGAGGACGTCCACAAATGCCGAAAGAGCCTGCCAGGCCCGGCGCCCGCCCTCCGCGGCCCAGCGCCGTGAGCCGCGCCTCTCGCCCAAGGGCCCGGGCTGCCCCGGCGAAACGGCCAAGCCGGCGGCTCGCCTCCAAACCGGCGCGCGGGCTCCACAACCGGGGACGCGACCGCCGCCGAAAAGCCGGCCTTGCGCCTCTTGGCGAGCACGAAGGCAGGCTGCGGGCCAGCAGGCCAGGCCTGCCTCAGGCCTGCGGGCGCAGAAAAGGAAACGCAGCCCTTGAGACAGAGCGTCTCCTTGGAGGGGCAGAGTTACGCGTCGGGCCCGCGGCAGATCCGGTGCACGCCTGCAGGGACCGCGGCTTTTCGGTGCCCCTGCGCAGCGCGATTCACGTCCTGCCCCACAGACACCCCCGCCGCTCGCCCACCAACCGGGAGGGAGGAACAGCAACGTCACGTAAATTGAGAAAGCGCTGGGTCGACAAAAACGCGCGGAAGAGGAAGCTTAAGCCCTAGTTACAGAGGCCACACCACTCACTGCAAGCCTCTTGTTTCACCCCTTTTCTGCCCAAACGGCACCTTTAGGCCTGAAAGAGCCTTTTTTGGTTTCAATCTCACGTTGGATCTCCAGTAAATGTTTTCAGGTTTGAAGCAGATATAGGAAGCGGTAAACATGCCAACATAAATAATTTAAAACTACATTACAAAGAGCAAAGTAACAATGCCAAGGGAATAGAGTCAATTCGAAAAGTCAACATTTTCTGGTACACAACTCATATTTAACGTTATTTGGGAAATAACTCCTAACAAAACTACTCTTTGACAGTTTCTCATCAATATATTCCTTCTGCAATATTAGACAAGTTAGCTCTGGACTTAAAAATAAAAAAACACCACCAAACTTCCAATGAAAAACCTCGTTCCAAGTTTCACTGCAAGTTGTCTGGGCATACAACCGCAGGTTCTGAAAAGAAGTGCCGAGCACCGCTGGCTGGGATCACAAGCATCCTTACATCCTTTTTTCAAGAGAACACCTTCTTTCAAATGTAACTTAATAAAACCTGGAACACTACCGATGCTTCCCTTGCTGGCTGTCCACCAGTACCATTTTATCACTAGATTACATCTTTAGAACAACCCAGCACACCCCAACAGTTTCCAAACGACGGAAATCACCAGATTCCCCTCCCCACAGTTGTTTAGTGACAGATTACCTTCAACAAGTTATACAACTTCATCTGCAAACACAACAAAACACTTACAAACCAAAACAGCTTTTCTACTTTTTCCAGCCAAACTAGCAACCCTCATAGAAGACAGTAACACCTCTATTTACAAATCTTCTCTGCAAAGTTTATCCGTAGAAGGTGGGAAATGGTTAAACCAGTGAGATGCCTACACTGTGACATGTCGTCTCCAATTAAAGCATTGCACAATGTTTCTGAGCCATGACGTGAGCTCCTGATGGCACAGGGGACAGGGCTCGGTGGAGAAAGAGTGAGCGGACACTAACTCTAAGGTATGAAGGGATCCCCAGGGACGGCGCAGAGGGAGGAGATCTGAGTTGTCACCATCCAGCCACAAATAAACGGGGTAACTTTCTGAATGATCAGGGAGGGCTAAGGAGGCGTTTCAAGTGTGCAGGCTTGCTTTCAGGGCTCAACCACATTTGGAGAATAAAACCAGGGCGATTAACGGTCCAAAGTAACCGGCAGGCAGACAGCCTTTGGTGAGACGTATCAGGCGGTACCCCAGCATCACCCTATCTCTGTGGAACTGCGTGCAACTCAAGGTTCCCCTAAGTTAAGACCTCTTCAACTGATATTTGACTCAGGAGCCAAAAATAACATGCCAGAGGACACTCGGGGTGTGTAAGCTGACCTCAGCAAAGGTTGGGAGGCAAGCTGATAATGCCCCGTACAAAACAACGTGCACGGTGACACGCGAGCTACTACGGTGAGAAACTCCTGTGGCCACAGCATTTGCTTCCCCATTTTGATGAAGAGCAACTTGATGATCTGAAATCCGTCTATATGGTGCAACACGTTCACCAGCGGGCAGTGAGAGTCTCTGATTAGCCAAGTATGACTGAATCACGGAATCATTGAGGTTGGAAAAGATCTTTAAGATCACTGAGTCTAACCGGAAACCCAACACTGCCAAGTCCACCAACCATGTCCCTAAGCACCACGTCTACATGTCGTTCAATTACCTCCGGGGATGGTGACTCCACCTCTTCCCTGGGCAGCCTGTTCCAGTGCTTGACAACCCTCTTGGTGAAGAAATTTTTCCTAATATCCAATATATACCTCCACGGAACACCATCAGTACCGGAGTTTTAAGATTTATCTTTGTGGTATTTCCCTCAAATATTGCCATCACAGTTCACCTTTCTCCAAGTTCACTGTGAACATTTTAACACACTCACTAGTACTGTCTCGTCTCGAACCAGGCTGCGAGCTCTGGGGATCAGTAGCCCCGGTCTCCTGCCTTCATACAGAGCTACAAACCCCAGAAATCTCAACAGAGGCAGTTAAGTGATGCTACAATTTCAAAGCAGTATTAAGTGGCTGGCACAAATGTCAAGAGTTAAGCAAAGGCTTGACAGGCATGCTTTGTGACTCTAGAGAGCTATCAGTAAGTGACAATATTTGCAGCAGTAAGTTTAGCAACAGTCCTCTGACAAGTACTTACGATTCCAGTGCTGTGAGAAGTGGATCAGGCTCAGGTATATCCTGGAGTTGATTGCTCTGGTCTCTGCTCAATCTTATGATATCACACAGGGTCTGGGAAGCATTTGATTGCCTCTGTAAACAATGACATAGAGCACATTTCAGGGCTAGCATCTCGACTTGGCTCACTCTGGCCACCAAAGAAAACTGAACCTAGCTGGGAACGCAAGAAACTGAACAAATCAGAATTTTTCAGAACAAGTGCTACCACGCTCTCTATTATTCATCTGCTAAATACAACACTGATGTGAATTATTAGAAGCATTAGCAGATTTTAAAATCAAAGAGGGCATCTTCCTGAACTTAACAATTAAATGCAGTTAAAGATTTCAGAAAGCGGGGATTCTTTTCTCATCTTCCTGACCAAGTGTGTTATCTTCCAAATTTCAAATACAAGTATTTCATTCTTCTCACTACTCAAGAGGTTTACTGCATGAAGAAAAATGAAGGGCTTTATAAAACCCTTTACAATTTAATTACTATGGATTAAAAGACTTTAAAGTAGTATTTTGATAAATTAATCATCTCATTCCGGCTCTCAATCTAAGACTCCCTGTAGCTACTGTAAGTATATGATCTTACGCTGTATTGCAGCATTCACCCGTAAGGCAGCACGGCTGAAGGCATACAAATCAGCATGTTACTTCCCATTTTTTCTCTCCAAAGGGGCAATTTTGGCTGTCATGAGCTGGGGGAGTCCTGGTGTTGGCATTAACGCTACACCAAAGGAAGCCCGTGCCACCCGGTTCGCTGTGCTGCCGGCACTCGCAGGAATCTGTAAGTGCCCCCATCCCCTTCCAAGTCAAAGCTGGCCCGGCGGAGACCAACACGCTGCCTTCTGCTATTCCTGCTCGGCATCAGGGACGACAGTCAACACCCAAATGTGAGATGCCAGTGCAGGAAACGGAAATCCAGACCTACAGCTCCTGCCTCGGACGTCTTGTGAAAACTGCCGCAAGGAGGAAAAAGCACTCATAAAATTTAATACTCAGAGTGTCTTTGTCATGGGCTCAGAGAACTCTATCTTGTAGATTTTATAACTGAGCACCTACTTACTAATGGTCTCAAAAAAATGGAAAGTTACAACGAACTGGTTAATTTTAAGAAGTTTTCAACAGCCTGTTTCAAATAGCAGGTTCCTACTTAAATCCAAGTAAGTTACCACCGAGTGTAGATACTGAGATGACCTGATGCAGCAGCAGAATGAACTAAGAAAGTGATAGGAAAGTAAGTCAAACCAGATTAAAAATACAACAAAATGTTTTGGTACTGAGCAACCAGAGGACAGGATGACCACCCGTACAGACCATCTCTCATTATCGCCCTCCGTAAGCCACCGGGGCGTTATCGAAGAGCCGGAGAGTCCTCTGGAACTTACAGGACCCGCTACCCACAAAGACAAAACTTAGTCTTGTCATACTCACGTCCTCGTCCTGGCTTGAATGGATCAGTTCCACAAGTCTCTGAATTATCTTTGCTTCATTAAGCCACTGGAGGGAAAGGAAGGGGGAAAGAAAATCCTTGTTTGATATCACAGATTTCAAACCAAGAGGATCTTGGAGAAGTTTCGCATAACACAGGGTTTTCAAGGAGGGAAAACCCTTTCCTTCCATTTCATAATCAAAGCCACAGGCAGTATACGAACTCCTCTAGGCACAGAGATGCATTTTAATTCGCATCAGTATGTACACCCTGTCCATGGAACTAAAAGCCTAAACACCTTTGGAAAACTTGGGCTAGGTCAGTCATAAACACTATCTCATCTGAAGAAGCAACAGCATAATTCTCAACATGTTCTTTTCCTACCATTTCTTATTCTTACAGTCTTACTACTGTCTACACTAAATCACTTCTCAGACTTGAGGTGATGTAACGAAGCTGCTGCTGTATCTCGCCTCCTTGCTCTGTGCCAACTTCAGACTACTTCATTCCTTTTCCTAGTGCAAGCTACCACTTTATCTCCCTTTCCTGACCACATGCAAACCAAGAATGCCATCTGCAAATCATACGTTCCAGTTTTTCCCTTCCCATCATTCCCTCCCCTCCATCTGCAAGCCCAACTTCTCATTTCCACCCAACCATTTTCACTCAAATTTCTACGGTCTTCATCCCAGGCAAATGGCTGGATGTCTAACATCAATCATACTAATCGGTCAAATCAGCCAAAGTAATACATTCCCAGTTGCTTTTGAAATGACTGACCAAACATTAATTAAAAGGAAAAAGACTCTGGAGGTTTCTGCGATGATATAATCTTCCATCACTCTTCAGATGAGTCATGGAGAAAATGAACAGTCTCCTGCCTTCCACTTCTTCACGAGAAGGCTCTATGCATATCTTCTCCCCCGAACACTCATTTTTATATTATCTATTCACATCACTTCAACTATAATCCTTAGGTTGACTCTTTACCAGCTGTGCTCTACAACCCCTCCTACAGATCTCATCCTCTCCTCTCCAATGCCATGCCGAGTACGACGTATGCCTGACTTAAAACAAAAATTACAGATCACCATTTTTTGGTGACTTTTCCCATGAATAATACTGCTGTTTTCCTACTAAATCTGAAATATCTGACTTTGACTACTTTCTGGTATCCCTTATTATTGCAAAAATACTAATGCTGTCCCAAAATCTTCCCAGCATACAGCTGGGAAACAAAGTATTCCATTCAAGACCGTATTTTCAGATCTGGTTCCTGTGCTTTCTTCTTCTCGACATCCAGTTTACATAGAAGTTCAAAAAACTGGGTTGCTAAGACATTTTTCCTCACCAGTCTCTTTACCAAGCTATCTGTTCAGATTCCTCCACTGGTTTCTAGTTGTCCAGCATCACAGTTACCCTCCCGAACCTCCTTCTCCAGACCACCACGGCAGAGTTGGTCACAGCTGTACCTTAACACATCAGTCCCGCCGTCTCCATTCCACTAACAACTGTCCATTCCCTCTTGGCTCATTTAGTCACCGAGCATCTTTTCTCATCTCCCTGTGCCTGAATGTGACTCCTGAAACCCTTCTTTCAAATCCAGAGACACCGTCTTCTGAGTACAGCTCAGGTAGCTGTCAACTGGCAATTTACCAAAACTGCTTCATTAAAAGTAATGTAATTCCCCTCATTTATATCTTCTGAAAAACAGCTGCTCAAATCTAGCAATTATGCCTCCTTGCAGTCTCTGTAACAATAAAATCACCCATCTCTCCTCCCTGCTACATTGGCATGTTTCATTTTTCATCATCAATTACACGCCCCGTGTTTGCACAGCACCATGACTACGAGCCCAGAGTTTGACTGCAATCTCTGGGTATTTCCACAGTATTAACACACTGCAAAACTTCAATTAAAAAAAAAAAAAAAAAGAACACCAAAACCCACCAAAAAATTTACATCCATTTTTACCTGTGAGTTTCCTTTCTTCAAATAACAAGCTCCATGGACACGGTACAGTGGGTATTTCAGCCTATTTGTTGCTTTGTGCAGAACCTACTGCCAATCCGTGTCAGCAGAGGAATTTTCACCTATTGAAGTTCCATCTACCCTCACGACTTCCACAGCCCAGAATAAAACTACTTATTAACACTCCTGCATTAAATGTATTTTCTTTCCCTTGCAGAGTGCAGCAAGTTAAATCCCAGCCCTCCACTGCAGTCTCAACTTTATCCTGTACCAACACCCTCCCCCAAGCCCCACATCAGTTGAACCTGTGGGCCCTATTAATTACAAATGGGAGTTACACATTAAGCAAGGATAAAAAGGTTTGCTCTTTTTGCCTGGACTGCCATAATAATGGGCTCGGGGGGGAGTTGGATGGCCACAGAGAGAGGTACTGCAGAGAGGGAAGCACCATCATTCATCTGAACAAAGGAATTACTGTTCCTGGGAACTGAGGGACAGAAGAAACAAAGTTCAAAAGCAAAAGAAAACCAACTGAAATAATCTGTTAAAATCAGAAGAGCAATACTAAAATTTGGTGAATTAAGAAGCACCTAGCAAACCTGGAAGAGATCACCAACTCTGTCTTGAAGCTGTTGTCAAAGAGATGGACTTTGACATTCACAAGAAAAGGACTCCTCAAGCAAAACCTGTGGCACTTGCAGGACCTCCCTACCTGGACTGAAGCACAATAGCGTCACCCTCCACATCTCCCTTAAGAATGGCACCTGAAACACAAACCCTTCTGACCTCACGCAGCTCAGCAGCGTGTTTACGCTCACTGAAAAATGACACACTTGTAAGGAATTCAGGGACAGAATGCTTGCACATACGTGCAACTTGAATTATTCTACAGGAAGACTGCAAGACGTGGGGCCAGCACGCAGGAGGCGGTTGATTTGCCTGCAAACAAACCGGGCTCCTGATTAGGGAGTGCCGAGAGAGGGCACGGTCAACCGGCCCCCAGGCAGCAGGGAGCTTCTCCTTGGTGGAGATAACGTCCCTCACCCGCAGCAGGACTCACTCTCATCGAGGCACTGTGCTGGCAGGCGGTGGCAGTTCTGGGTGGAGGTGAAAAGAAAACGTAGTATTACGTTCTGGATGAATGGAATTCCAACAGGGTTTTTCTGCAGAGACCGTGGAAGCGGTCAGGGTTTCCTGGACCCTAATTTTGCATGGAAGAAAGAATAGCCAGAGACTGCAGAGGAATTAGAAGATGGAGACTCCCAAGTCGGGAGTGGCTGGGAGCTGGAACGTGGGAAAAGCCCTTTCGCCACCGGGAGATGTGCACTTACAGAAGAATGGCTTGGCGGTAGCAGGCGAGGAGGAACAAGCTTCCTCAAGGGCGTCGTCGAAGCCACCTGAGCTGGAAACTCTCCCAGGCGAGAGGCGGCGGCGGGCGAGCGTGGCTGGAGTGTCCCCTTCTGCGGGGAAGGGGGAACCCACTCACCAGCCAGCTCTGGTGCTTCGGCCAGCGTGCTGCCCGCCAGCAGCTCGGAGTCCCCCCCGCGTGCGCCGAGACTGCCAAGGCTCGTCCAGCCCTCGGACGGCCGCTCCTTCCTCCCGGCGCCCCGGGGCACCGGCACCACTGCCAGGGACACCTCGGGCGTATCACCAGGGCCCTGCTGGGGCCAAGCCTTGGATCAGTCCCTGGGCTGCCCGTCACATCCTCTGCCAGGTTCAACTCCGGCCAAGCTTTGGCTTTCCTAACAACATCGCTGCCTGCTCGGGCAGCCTCCCACTGCCGCTCCCGGGCGCCCCAGCCCTGCCCCACCACCTCCACGCCGTCTGTGGGTGCCCGAGCTCAGGCAGGGGTGCCCCGCGCACCCACAGACCTCCTTCCACACCTGCCTCACGTTCTGCACATCGGGATGGACCGTTTTGTCTAAGTACTAACTCTTACGTTTCTCTGCGATGACTTCCCTCCCACATAACCTGCTACTAGGCTCAAGGGCCAGGTAGCCTAACAGCAGAGCTTACCAGTTAAAAAAAAAAAAAAAAAAAAAAAAGTCAACACTGGTGACCAGTACTGCTAAGTGTTTTCATTAAAGATGTGGAAAATGGGGAAAAAACACACCTTTAAGTTTGCAAACAATCCCACACTGGGGGGCAGCAGCTGATATGCAGGAGGGGAGGAACCTAGACAAGCTGGAGAAATGGCCTGGGAGGAACCTCAGAAGTTCGAGAAAGGCAAAATGCAAAGTCCTGCCCGGGGGTACCGGGGTGACCCAGCCAGGAACGGCTCACGGAGAAGTCCGAGGGGGCCCTCAGTGGACCCTGAGGGCAGCCAGCAGCGTGAGAGCAGGGACTGCTCCCCTCCATTCAGCACCAGTTTGAGCATCAAGACTCTGGGTCAGGCTGGGGCTCGCCAGCACAGGACAGACACTGCAATAGCGCAGCAGGTCCCGTGGAGGCCCCTGAGATGGTCGGGGCTGGAGCACATGAGGTGAGGGGACAGGCTGAGAGCAGGGTTTGCTCAGCCTGGAGAGAAGGTGAAGGGGAGACCCTCCTGCGACTGCTCACTGGCCTGGGGAGAGATGACGGAGCCAGGCTGCTCTCGGAGGTGCCGGGACGGGATGAGAGGCACAAGATGCACCAAGGGAAATTCCAACAGGATATTAGGGAAAATCTCCACTCGAGGGTGATCAAACACTGGAAGAGGATTCAGACAGCTCCTGGAGAAAAGCGAAAACTCATCTGGCTAGTGATAATAGTGAAAACTCATCTGGCTAAGGCCTTGAGCAATCTGCTTTAATGGGACCTGCCCTGCGGAGGCAACTGGACCTTTTCAGGCATCTTCCAATCTGCATTATGCTATGACTGAATTGTTGAAGTCTTGAAGGGTCAATACTGAAGAAAGTCTGTTATATTAGGATGTCAACAAAACTTCATTTTCTAAAACCTGCTGAAAACATACCTAATAAGAGAGTGAGTTTGGCTTGGGTATTTCTAATCAGTCACAGTAAAAGAAAGTTCGTGCTTCATTATTTAAGATGGCAGTCAAACAAGGGAGCCGCCTTCACCAGACCAAGCTGTCTGATCTTTCAAGGATCACATTATCAACAGTCACTTCACTGAGGCAGTCGCAGCAAGCTTTCCTCAGCTGAGGGCTGACCTTCCAGTAGGGCAATTTTTGTTACAAGAAGAAGATATCTGCATTAGTCTGATCTAGCCCTGGGATCTACGGTTTCTTTAGGATAAAGACGGCATGAAGAACATGCCCTTTTCATTCCTGTAGTTTGTTACCCATGAAAGCAAAGGAAAAAAGCAGGACAATGCGCAGTAGGGTGGTTTTTTTCTGTGCTATGATCACTACCCGTGGTAGACTGACAAAAAGGGTACGATACCCTGGCTACAAGCGGTGAAAACTGGAAGATCAGTTCAACCACGGAGGTGCTGAGCTTGCGAGGGGTTTCTGCAGAAGCCACGGTCCGTACCTGGGCACTCTTCACCAGCACCCAGAGAGAAAAGGCAGCTCCAGCCAGGACAAGCAGACTTCTCTTCAGAACAACAGGGAACCCATTCTCCCGATTACCACGGAAACTGCCTCAGGTGTGTCGAATGGTGCAACCCACTCTGCAGCCCAACGGTGGGGTTTGCAGTGAGATCCCACGGACTCACTGTGCTCCAGCTGAGCCACAGCAGGTTCTCTCCTCCAGACCTTAATAAAGACAGGCTAATTCTCCTCCGGGAAGATTACACAACAGAAGCTGTAATTTTGGTCACTAAGGCACACATGAGAAGATGAAGTACGGAAGAGATATCCCCAGTAACTGGACCTGCTTCGCATAAATTCCCAGTACATGCCAGCAAAATCAGATGTGGAGTCTTCTCACAGCGGTTGTTCCTCTTCACATTGTTCTAGGTAAGATTTTATACTAACAACATGCAGACAGAGGACAGACTTCTTTGATGCCACTGATCTGTCTTGATATTAAAAATGCTTCACAAAGCAACCCATATCTGAGCTTTCTTGCCGCACAAGAATTAAATTATTTAAAGTCAGTATTATTTCTTTCACAAACACAGAGACATTTCAGGATCAAATGACACCGATCAAAGAGAATATGCTGTCATCCATCTGCAAAATTTGTCCAAGGATACCAAAATGTAGGTGCCTGAAAGACAAGCCTGCCGGAAGGACCTCCTTAAAGGTTTCTGGTGAAGACCCTTCTACTATTTCCAATTGTGGGACTCCAGAAATGGGGAGGAACCAGGGCTGTAAAGATGCAATGTAGGGAACAGATTATTTCACTTATGTCGTGCCTACCCATGGGCTGCTGAATCTGGAGGCTTCCCTGTCCAGCGGTGCTTCTGTCCAACCCGGGACAGAACTATGGAGAACAGCATGTGCTAGCAAGGCTTTTTCCTGATGGCACAGCTCTCCAAAAGAACAAAATCCGAGCTACGTGAACAAAGCATTCCTCTGTCATGCATGAACAAAAGGAAATGGATAAAGAGTTATCATATTTGCACGCTAACTGTATGCCCTCAATACAGATCAAGGAAGAGAAAGGGGAAAAATATCACAAACCGTAGCTCTGCAAACAGTTTAAGAACATATAAAGTGGCACCTCCACCTTCTTTCTGCTCATATTCATCCACTTCTGCTCCTTTCTCCTCCCTTATCATTGCACAAGTCCATGCAAAAAAACAACAACCCCAAACCAAGGAACTGAGCTGGCAGAAAACAATCCTGGCAAAGAATACAAATAAAAGAGAGGTGTCTTCAGTTGGATCAAGCCCCTAATCCACGCCACCTTACAACCACATGAACACTTCAGCTGGCAATGATTCAAGAGGAGCTGGATGGGTAGAACAGGCAGTAAGAAGGTGAAAGCAGGACTGGGACTGCCTCTTTCTGTGGCAATGCCAACTTCCAGCGCTCACGGAACTGCTGGCCCAGCTTCACTCAGCACTGGAGGTCAAACACTTGCAGCAGCACCGCGAGAACCTCCACCCTGGCTGACATCATCTGCGCAAGGGGCAGACGAGGACGCTCCAAGCAGACACTTCAGAAGGTCCATTCAGTAGAGAACAGAGCAGAGAACGGAGCCACCAGCACTGTCCAGCTATCACAGTCTAAGGATCTCTAGAATGGAAGGCCAGAGAATTAGACTCGTGCAATTACGAGGGAGTCTCTGACTTACTGAGTCAAAGCAACAGTGTGGACATCAAATCCCTAAGGAGAGGTGCTGTGGGACTTGTTATGCAGGATATAATTTTGTTTAACTTAAAATATCATCTTCATAAATCTGGCACTGTAAAACACTACCTTTTCAGACAGCAAGAAACATATAATGAACCAACTGAAGTTCAGAGAAGGATTCTGCCAGCACAGCAGTGTCAAGTGGGAAAGTAGCCTTTTCACACCCCTAAGTGATGCACCCTCGACAGCAGCGCTTTCTAGTGAAAAACGGTGCTTCTCAAACTTTACTTTTCCCTTTTGTTTAGTCATCCAAACACAACGTAGAAGGCATTTTGTTGTTCAGATGACATTCATACTGTACTTGCGAAGTAGCTGGAACGGAACCTGGAGACCCTGATGAAATGTTAGACCTCCTCAGACACCATCCAGGAGCAGCGTGCATCAATAGCAGGGAAACCTTCAAATACTAAACTTAATTGCTGTCACTGTGCTACAAAAGTAATTGGTAAACAGCTAGCCAAAAATCTATGGCACAGGGTGTCTATCCAAAACACTAGCTACTGCAGGGAGGAAGATGTGCAGATAGGGAAAAAACCCCCTGAATATGGCATTTAAAGATATACTTTGAACATACAGTCGGGTTAGTGAATGACATTTGCCTGCAGGCTTAACATATGGATAGAGCAATCCATCAGCTGGAAACTGTTCAACAGAAGATGACAACACATGGGAATTTATGACAGAATAGATGAGAAGTGAATTAAATGCACACAGATGAAAAAGTGCAGCTCAGATCCAGAACACAAGATAGATGGACTCTGCTGTGCGGCTCGGTAAGGGGTGCCCGGCCCTGGGGTTACCACCCAACACGCTGCTCGGCAGAGCACTTTCTCCTGAACTGCAGCAGGTGGGAGTGGGAGAAGAGTGGCTCAGCACGAGCGAGACCCTGGAAAGATCAGCCAACTGCAGCTTTACGAGTTCCTGAAAAATTAATCATAATACTTCTCCTCTTAGTAAAACTCAAAAGAGCCTGATACCTCTCTGAGGCGTCCAGCATCCCGAAGAAATTTGAAGACTGCTTTGGGAGAGCAAACAATTTGCAACCATTCTAGCTACTAGCTGACAGACAATCTTTTTTTTCCTGATGTGACGAAAAGCTAAAGCATCCATGAAGTGTAACTTTTATTTCTAATACCTACCAAAAATCAAGACTGCAAATTACCTTTTCTGGAGACTTAAGTTTCTGAATATATTGCCGAAACTGCTGGTAAGTAGCTTCTCTAAATGTTCGATCCCAAATTTCATTATTGCTACTACTTCCTGTTTTTCTGAGGAGAAGTTCTTAAGCCATCAGGTTATCAGATGCTTGGGAATATTACTTCTATTAAGACTATTTGCAGAAAAAAAAAAAAAACCTTCAGGTGTACCTCCAGTACCACTTGGTATCTTCACTCTGTTTTCTTTTTTTTTTTTTTTTTTTACTGTGAATTCTTTAACAGGTAGAATTAAGCTGAGAGGAAGGGGTTAAAATATATCCCACCCAGAACTGCCTGTTTATGGATGATTGCTATTTGGAAACCTGGATATCTGGAAGTTTCCTGGACAGAAGCCATCCATCCAGGAAAAACACTACTCTGTTAAAACGCCGTTTTAACATCAGAATTTAAAAATAGCTGCATTTATCTCGGTAATACTTCGCAGCACTATTGCAATGTCGGGCCTGGCCCCAGTACCTCGCCAGCTCTCAGCAGGCCCGAGCAGGGGGGAGCGAGCCCTGCCCCCGGGCCACCGTGCCCTGGGAGGTGGTCGGACCGTTTCTGCAAAGCTGCTTCTCTCGCAGTGAACCCGCCGTCAGCCTCCGCCCCCGTCGGAGGCTTTTTCCTCCCATCTCCTTTCTTGGGATTACTACTCGACGCCTAACCAACTGAACTGCTGACTTTCCTGTCAAAAAACGAAGACCTCCTTTCACGGGTGAATGCCCATGCAAGTCTGGAAGGATGGGCTTGTGCCCGTTTTTTTTTCCTTCTCTGTAACAGCGGGTGTGCTGCACGAGGCACCATAAGGCTGAGAGGAGGAATCCAGCAATGGTAATCATCTACTGTGAGTCTCTGCAAAGAACATTTATCGACTCAACTCCGGCGTGGTCAGTGCTCCAGACACAGAAGACTCGGGCAGCAAAGCTTGCCAAACAAAAATCCTGATGTGGGCTTCAGTGACTCCAGTACAGTTTTCCATCTGGCACGCTGCTCTTGTGGTTTATTGAGAAGGAGCTAAAGTGGGATTTTTTACCTCCAGTCCTGCACATCTGCCCAGTGAAGTGGGGATGAGGCAGCTGCACCCAGGCTGGGCTATGAAGGGAAAAATGCTTGTCCTACGTGTAAAGCAAACTCCACATTTCAGTAAGGTATTTTATAAGGTTGTCTATTAGAGAGGAAGGGGAGGGAGGAGGCACACCACAGCATCTATAAAAAGTACATACACCTCTGAACACAGCGAGGAATTAAACAAGTTACTGTCCCAAACAATCAGTCTAAAATTCTGAACACTGGGGAAGATTACAAATTTCCTTTGTCAAACCTCTACAGCAAAACCAGCTGGGATAAACAGTCGTTGCCGTACGGAAAAAAGAGCTGAAAATCCTTTACTGCCAGGGACCGAACGAGGCTTCTCCTGCCGTGCAAGCCACAAACAGGCTGAAATACCCAAAGTAAGCAGCACGCAGACTCAAGCACTAAGAAAAATAGTTTTCAGAAGAGTGGATCCGCTCTCATAATAAATGACAAAAAGAATTCTGTTTCCTTAAGATATAAACAAACAAAACCCCTTGTTCCCAATCGCATAAAGAAAAAAGCAGTAGGTTCTCACATTCAGTACTTCCTGCCGTAGAGTTGCGGGCTCCACACAGCTGATCAGACGAAGCAGGAGGTCCATCATTGCTGATGTATCTATATGCTTTAGCACCAGGCTAATAAATTTGTCTTTTTTCCTTAAAAACGCAATCACCTAAAAATAAAGGTGTCATCATCAGTTGCTAGTACAACACGCAGACATGGCACACAGAACTTCCTACACTTCACCTTCTTGCCTCAACCAACCAACCTCGATGCAAAACAGCTACTAGGTTGAGAAATTCTCCAGAAAACGAGAGAAGAGAATAACGCTCTCGTTCCGAGGCAATACTAAATCGATTATTTTTAGCTACCTTTTCTTTCCTCTCTGCCACAAAGAAACCCAAGCCCACAGAAATAAGAGCGTCAAGAAGCTGGTGAAGCTGGAGAATTTTCCATTCCATTAAGGCTCTCTGACAGCCTTCGTTTAAAAATTAAATTTTGAATTGGAACGCATGTATTCCTGAAACACCATTCAGCTCATGTTTCCAGCACCCCTTTTATAGGCATGAGACTGAGGCATTGCTTATGTAACGAGTCAATTCTGGGCAGTGATCAAAGGATGCATCAATATGCCTTAGTACAAAAAATAAAGCCTTAGCTGTGGCACAGGAATATCCCAGCTACTGCAGATCTGAAACCAAAACTCTGCCAATGTGTCTAAATCAGCCAGCATCTCCCTCAGCTGAGGAACCCGAAGAACTTTTCAGAGACCACATTTCAACTCCAACCTTGAAGAGTGTGGCGAGCTACTTTCCGCCTCCAAGAATACGAAGAGTTCACGAGGGCAGCAGTGATGCTGCCACACAACACAAACAACGCTAGTGAATTAATTTGTGCTTACGTATCGGGACAAATCCGATCACTACCTGTTCTGTTTTCCTTGCAATGAGATTTCCAATAGTCTTACTGAAGAAACTGGCAAGCAAAGGGTTCAAAGGAGGCTCGTGATCCAAGAAGTCATAGAGGATGTTCAGCAGAGTTTCATCCCCTCCTAGCTTGTCGTTGATCTGCGGCACATCCGAGGTCAGCAGTTCACAGGCTGTGTTTGGATATCTGGAAGGACAGAACCAGAGCAACTAAAGGTGAAATGAAAACTCTCAAGAAAATCTTCCCTTATTAAAGTTATAAGGAGTAGGAGGATCGCCCTTCCTGGAGACGGGGAAAAAAAACGCACTAGAAACAAGGGTCATCTACATTAACGGCACATTTTAAGGGAACGCTATTTCCTGTAGCACATCATGAGGTTTTTTAACCACTGAATTATGCATCTCAGCTGCCTTCAAACTGCATTAGTTCTGATTTTTAAAAGTAATGCTTAATCAGCTTCAATGCACTTAAAATCTCTTAAAATCTTTTAACGTTAATTCATTAGTACAACTAAAATTAACCCAAAAATTGAAGGTTGATTTGAAGAATGCATATTTTAGCAGGTTTCTGAGAAATGCTTCTTTCCACTACTGGAGCTGAATTAAAAATGAGCATTTTTTTTTTTTAAATATAATTTAAATTTAGAGACAGAACATTAGATCTATCACAAAACTCCTAACAAATGAGCATACGCTATGTACGAGCAAGCAATTCATAGCCAAACTTTTGAGTTTCAATTTTTCAGTAATGTCTGTACTCTTCTGTAAAACTAACTTGTTTTCACAAAATATTACTATTCCTGGTTTAGATAATTTTACTCACTTAAATCAGAATATGAAATTATGTCTGACAGCTAATGAAATCTTTTTTTTCCCTGATCTTGCTCTTGCTCTTCCAGCTGGTGCTTTTAGAAATAGGTCACATGTGCTATCAGAAAAGGTAATCACGTGTTTCTAATTAATATTATGTTTATGATTAGACAAAGTCTCACATATGAAAGCGCATACCTCACTTCCGCGTTTCATTGTTAGATTAGTGTCTTAATTTCACATTCTAGCTACTGTCCAGCTACAAAAAGGGCTTAAGAGAGCTCCTTCGAAAAAGACCTATTCACCTCCACCCCCAGGTTACCGCAACCAGAAACAGCAGCTCATGAGGGCTGCGAAATTCAACCTAGCACTGAACTTGAACACTATTTTCGCAGTTTCAATGATACATATGATCCTAGAGTCAAAAGGCAGCTGGACTTTATTTTTAAACCATGATTTACTCTTACCCCACTAATTGTTTAAAGTCTGACGGGGTGTGCTCAAGCGGTTCTAAGCGCAAAGCGGCGACTCTGAGCACCAGAGTTCCTGCTGAGTGCCAGTTCTGCCCCGTGTTGCCTAAAGGAGTTTTTATTTGTTGCCAAGTGATACAGATTAAAAATAAAACCTGTCCTTTACAGTTTGAACATTTTCTGTCAGTAAGCAGAGCTGGTTGGTTTTGCTTGTTTGTTTGTTTGGTTTTTTTCTTTCAAAATCCAAAGCAAATTTACTATGTATTTTAATAAGACAACTCAATAACATTTAAAAAACTACAGAACACACTTGCTGCAAATGCTTGTTCATTCTTTAAGTAGTTCATTCACTTTCCACGTAAAAAATGTGCCATTCCATAAGACAGAAGCCCAACAATTTCCCACTTTTAATAATTCTGCAAGATCTAACAATTTTTGTAACTTCAGACACAAGCCAAATCCAAGACCAGTATAAAACACTCCTGCAATAATATGCCTGTCGCTACAACACAAAGGGAATACCTTCACTTTTGCAGAACAGCGAAGCTGAACCAATCTTTCAATACACAGCAAGTTTTTTTTTTTTTGTTCCCCTAACCTCAATCTCAAAGGAGAAAACCAGGCAGAAAAGAGCTGTAGAAACGACTAGGTACCTCTGACATCCCTTCCCCCTTTGCAGGAAGACCTGTGAGCGTGTAACAGAATCCGAGTTGAGCGGTTTTCTGCTGTTTTTTTTATCTCTTAGTTGAAACTAGTCAGATTTCTGCTCAGAACCTAACTAACAGAAAATCAAGATGAAACCTTAAGGGCACCTCCCAAAGCTGAAGTGGGACCCCCTGCTCTGAGCTCCGACCTCCCACCGCCCTGGACACAGCCATGTTTCCTGAGCTGGCGACCGCCTGTCAGGGAAGAAACTGCAGAGTGCTTGCAGGGCTTTGGAAATTCCAGCTCAGCTCCTGAAGTGACAAGACAGAGACTTCTGGAAACCGTACCAAAGGAACACAGAGGAACGACGGTGACAGTACCCCCGTACGCCAGGTCCCGCCTGCCGGAGCACGCCGCCGGGTGAAGACACCGCTAGGGCCGCTCTCAGGGACCAGACGCCCGGGAAGGAAGGTCCCTCCCTCTGATGCCACCCGGCCATTCTTGGCATTCGCCTCTCTTCCGTGGGCAGACCTGCAGCTCGCTCTGCAGCCGACTGTCCCGTTGCCTGTCCTCCCCAGGGGTTTGCCTTTGCTGTACCCAGGGGTTTTTCCGTCCCAGTGCTGTACGCAGGGCTTCGCTGGCAGGATGCTGCCACTGGCCCTTGCCTCCTTTCAGTTCACAGCTCAAGCCGGAGCTGCCTTTCAGTTTTTGTGCTTTCAAGTGCACCATTCTGTGCCCACCTTTACCCTAATAACCGTGACTGGTTTGGTTTTCTTACATTCACTGAACACAGTTTTTATTTGGGAAGAAACTCCACACCTCAGCCTTCCCAATTTAAGCCTTACTTTACTCATCACACTTCCACTTGGTTCTTAACAAGGAGAATACTTCTTGCCCTGGTAAAGGGTGAAGACAAGTGTTACAGGACAGTAACTTTTCCAGTACATGCACTGAACTGCTCTGTGTCGAGCCTTGTGCTTTCGGTCCCGAACACACGCTGGCACTCACTGTTTATTGAGCAATTCCAGCACACTACCCACAGGGACTCCGAAGCCTTCCCCGAGATGTAAAAACTAATCGAAAGCCCATCGATGGGTGCATGTAGCTTGGGCCATCAGTCACTACGCCGTCAGCACGGACTGCATCTGCTTTATTACTGCTCGGCCATGTAACGGCATGAAATATTTCTACCGTTTAACTAACCTTAGTGATTTTGCATTATCAACTTTCCACATTTACAGGTCACCTCCCCTGTTTCACACGCGAATATATCAAACAGCACAGGGCTCAGCAGTGCAAAACCAGAAAGCTGGAACTGGCCGTTTTTCCCTCATCTATATTTCTTCTCTTTTAACAGTTATTGATGACAGAGCCCTCCCTGTCATCCCATGACAGCTTGTCTTCAACAGTCTTTGATAAGGGACCTTATCTTTTTCGGCTGTGTTTAAGCCACATTAGGCATACCACCGTTATCCATGTGTTTCACTGACTCCATCACACTCTGCTCCTGAACTGCAGCCCCAGGGCTCTGTGATGGCCGAGAGCCGGAATTCAGAGAGCTGCCTGTGAACCACCGTGCTATACCAGAAATTCTCCCACGTGCACAATGCAGAAGCCAGATTTACTGGCTCACAGACCCTTCGTAAGATCTGGTGTCCTATCTGCCACTTCCAGTCCACTGCCGTTAAGGCTGACTAGCTGAGCAATTTCATATTTTAATTCCTTTAAATCATTGGGGTAAATATCAGCCACTCCTAACAATTATTCTACTGATCCTGTTCCGCAGATGCTCCAATTTGAGACAGTTCCTCAGATCATTCCCCTGTAAAGGAAGACACCACTAGGCAATCTCCTGAGAAGTCTCTGAAGTGAGCACCAACACAGTTTAGTTTTATTTTTTGCTATGGTCCTATCTTCCTTTACACTTGGACCACCCATCCACCCTACACATTCTCAGAGACGCTTCCTTATTTTGATGGGTTTAGCGTATTAGTGGTTTTGCCTTTAGCAAACTGCTGCTCAAAAATCCCTTCGTCCAGTCTCACGGATTACCTCGCCACTATATCCTTTTTCCATATCTGGACACAACTTCCCTTTTGCGAGGATGTACTTTTACCTGTAATGGATTATCCATTTTTAACCAAACCGATTTTCTACATTAGGATTTTTTTTTTAATCTTTGCAACACAAGCTCTGCATTTACCACGAGCCACTAAAACATTTCTAGGCCAGCTGTGAGCTTCTTACCCTTTCACAGTACCATTTACTTTCTAACTAGCCTCCTCATATTTACTTAGTTCCACTCCTAAAGGTTAGCAAAACAAATCCCAAGCCCATGATAATGCTGTTTATGTCTTTTCTTGCTCCTGCGAGGATGTTAAATCTAAGTACATTATGGTTACTATTACAAAGTGATTTTACAACAGTTACATTTCTTAGAGCCCCCAAGGGTATATGAAGACTTATTTCTCTTTTTTCTGGCTCACTGCTCCATGCAAAAGGCATTCACGATTCCTGAAAACTCATGCACCGTGCCTCCCTGTAATATCCATCCTGTCAACAGGGGGATAAATGAAACCTCGCATTGTTATAGCACGTTCTGCTCTTGCAGACTTTACAGGCTCCAAGTTTCACACAGTCGGATCTAATACTTCACCCTTTCTCTTCAGACACCTCATCCCAACCCATAAGGTCTCCACGCTGCAGCTGAGGTATCTCACTTGGCACTCAGCCCTCCATCCCCTAAAGCCCACTCTCACACCAGCAGAATCTACTCTGCCTTCCCTGTAAGCTGTACTTCTCATTACTGCACGGTCTCAACAGGTTTATGAGACACCCTAGTACATCAACAAGTTCATTATAAATAGACGTTACAGTTCAAATAGTTTATACACCACTTTGATTGCTACGGGTCTTCATCTGGTTGCTTCGTTTCCTCTTTGCCGTCTCCCTTCTGAACTTTATGAACCTCTATCCTACCCACATTTCAAGAATAAAGCATTTTGATGATTCCATTTCCACAGCATGCATCATTCTGAGCTGCATGTCCTTCCAAACCTATCGAGTTTCTCCCTTGTTCCAGTTTAGAAACTTTCATAACCTTTTCTTAAGAGCCAAAAATTGGATTCCATTTGGATTTAGACAGAGCCCATTCCTCCTGCTTAGCCTTTATTTATTCCAAAAGCTTCCCCAGTTTCTAATAAGCTTACACCCTCTTTCCCCTCTCTAGTGCCTCACCATGCTTTGAAAATGCTTCTCTGCCTGGTCTACCTATGGTACTGGAAGCGTTTCCAAAAAAAATACTTCATAAGGATCAGCTCTGTTTGTCCTGGCAAGCGGGTCACTACACAGTTCTCGTTGCCATCTAAAGACACACTTACCTGTCTATAGTGTACCACCACACTTCCCACCACTACACCGGCTTTTCGAGCAGGCACCCTACAGGCCACTCTCAGAAGAGGAAGGGGATGGAATGCCATCATCTGCTGTGAGCCGGGTGAGTGGACTGCTAACGTAAGGCCTTCCCAACACAAGATTGTCTCCTGTCTTGCCAGCACGGGGGCCCGCGCCGCTGCAGGCTGGCCTCTTCCCACCCCTGCCCACCTTTTTCTGTGCCTCCCCACCCGCCAACCCGGCCCTGAGCTGCCTAAACCACACGCTGCCTTCCAAAGCCCATGAAAAGGCAAATCACCCTGCATGGAAAAGTCAAGGACGCTTGGGAGTAAACACTCTCACACTGAGCTTCCCTTTCCATTTCAGTTTGCATTAAGGACTTGGCTTCTGGGGAAATTTTTGTGTCCCCACCTTCCCTTATTCTTAATCTGCTTGGCTGCAGTAGGAAAAGGTTTCCGCTTCCACCTCTGAGCACACAGGATCAGAGATGTAAACCATCTTCCAACAGCAGCCCCCAAAATCTCAAACAGAACAGGACTTAAAAATACGGTCTGGTTAGCTAAGTGGTAGCGTATTCTGCAGTGACACGGACAGTGTGTGAGTCAGCACTGGCATGGTACTGGAATCCCTTCCTCTCCTCCAGCAAAACACACCCAGATTCCAGGAAAGGACCCCAAGTCTCACATCATTCAGCATCTCCTCTGCTCAGCTCTCGGCACCAAGGGAAGTACTGCCCATCTGCTCCGCTCAGCCGTCTGGGGTTTGAGCTCGTCTCGGGTTAGCCGTGCAAACGGTATGGATAAAGGGCTGCAGTGAGCACAGAGCCAGTCAGCCCATCAGAACCCAGGTATTCTGATTAATACAGGAAACGCAAAAAGTCCAAAGACTGTTGTGTGCCACATCCCTGATTTGAGAGTACCTGTACAAAACTTTCATTTGTAGGAGAACAGTATAAAACTAACACTCCTGGTTCCTGGTAATTCACCTTTCGTAGCAGAAGCTTTGCAAAAGCAGCCATATAATATTCCAAGTTACTACATAATGTATTTCCTGACATGCATTTACCTGGAAATAGTCACCTAAACACAGCTGAGCAACTGCCTCACCTAATAATAAACCTAAACAATACTACCATTTCTTCTGTGGATTTCAAGCAACAGCAGCAGTAACCAACACTGATCCATCCCCACAGTGACAAACTTGCCTGGTTTTATTTATTTATTTATACACAGAGCAGCCTTTTATTTTTACATAAAGAAAAACAAACTCCCCAAATCCAAAATGTAAATATTTTCAAGTATACATTTAGTTAAAAATGTATAAACACAACTTGCTATGAGAACCAAACACATCTAAGGAGTTGGCCACCGTAAGAAATAGGTGCGTTACAGCGTTAGGCTCTCTCCCCAGCTACACAGTCACTGAAATCAGCAGGTTTTGCATATGCAGCACAATGAAAATATTACACCTTTCATTCACTGTACAGCTCGCTTTCTTTTGTGGGCTTGACTGCTAAAAACCAATCAAATTCAGAAACTTCTAACTCAGAGCAGAATGCTCTTCACTTGCAGTTTTGGTCAAAATGTACTAAAAAGTACTTCTGAGTTACTGATCATTTTGCTTGCAAAACTTTGAACAAACGGCAAAAGATTTTTTTTTTTTAAAACAAACTCAATATTAAACCATTACAAATAAAGAAACAAGCTTCTGAAGATTCACTACAAATAACAAAATGCTGTGAAGTGTTTCACAGTACTCGAAAGCCTTTTCCCAAGACCAAAAGGGTTATATCCACCTCGCACCAGAGCATTCCCAAGACCAAGATCTCTCACTCAGTTTTCTTTGTACAGGAGAGAAAACAAATACCTACTTGAAGCGGACCTTCTCATCCATATCCACAGGGGGCTCATGTGTGATGAGGTTGACCAGCTCCTCCATGCAGTGCTGCTGGCAAAGGAAGTCCAGCAGCTTGCGGTTCTGAGCCTTGCACTCCTGTAAGATGTCATCTTCATCCATCAGCTCGTGAAGTGTCACATCTTCTTTATCCAGCAGCTTGTCCACATGTGATGTTGTGTTCAAATCAAACTTCCAGAACATGTTGATGGGACACAACTAGCTGTAATGCAAAAGAGCATGAGTTAATCTTCCATCTGTGCTATTCATTCCTCCTTTATAATTCTGAGCAGAATACCTTAATACAGCTGCCAGCCCGCTTGTAAAAATGAGTTCAATTCTGTAAACAAAATTAATGACTTTTTGCACCAGAAAACTAACATGACTTTGATTACAGCTGTATGGTATCGACAATGGACACAATATATGCACAAATTAACTTTAACTGCAAGTAGCCGGAACTGAAAAATCAAGGATTATGTTCATGCACAGAACTGCTTTGCTGGATTAGAGTCAAGGCTGGCCACAGACAGGGAAACCACGCTACTGCACTATAAACAATTTGCATTAAAGGGTTTGGGAGTTTTCCACATTATTTGTATTTCCGAGTCACGCTCCTCAGCCATAATTGCAACAATCAATGATTTATGTAAGTGGAAGAAAGGCCTCCAATGTATACATAACAGCAAGAGATAGAGATAGACCATTATTGGAAAGTATTAAAAAAACCCCACAACAATCTTCTGGACGCTGCGATAACATCAGCAAGCCTAGAGCTGAACTGCTAACACACACAGTAAACCTTACGGAATACTAGAATACACTATTAATCTCCTAAACATCGTAAAAGTGTAAAACTGTGAGTGGTCTTTTGCGGAACAGAAGAGTCAATTTTGTTTACCAAAAACAGAAATGCCAAAAGGACACTATAAATCAAAGCTAGAAATAGAAACTCAAGGAATGGCCTCCTTGTCCTACACGTTCTGGATCTTAAGTCCTCATAAATAGTTGCTGAAAGGAAACCCTCCTCACCATCACCCTCCCGCACAGGAACCTTCACATCGTCCCAACTAAATACAAGAGATTTTGACGCAGCTCTTTTGCAAAAGTGCTAAAAGTGAGATCGTGCATGTAACAAAAAACCAACGACCAACTATTAAAGACTGACTCGAGCTGGAGCCCAGGCCCACACAGCCCCGGGGAGTCACCTTCCGTTAGCAGGGCCCAAGCGCTGCCCCCGCCGCGGTCGGTCCCCTCCGTGCGTGCCCGGGGGCCGCGGCCCGACCCCGCTCGCAGCGGTCCACGTCGTCCCCCCGTGCCCCCCCCCGTGCCCCCCCCGTGCCCGCCGCGGGTCACCAGGATCACGCACTGTATTTCAGAGGAGGTTTCACTACTGCTGTGTCGATTAGTAAGAATATTCCCCTCCAAACAATTTTCGCTAAATATAGGGCACTGCACTTTGTATTATTTGTTTTCATCCCACTCCAACCCCCAGTGCTTTATTCCTGTTATCCTGATTTTTCTCTACATGAGCTCTGTTAGTTATGTTTTTCCAGTTAGCTTCCCCAATATGCTTCAACTTTTAAGAATAGTTATTAACTACATCAAAACAAGACAGTGTTCAGACTATCTCTAAGAACTCTTCCAGTGGTCTTCCTCTTGCTTAGTATTTTCTGTTATAATTCTGCCCTTTACAATCTCACCTCAGGATCAGCTAATTCACCACAGCTCCCCAACCACAAAAAATCTTTCACAATCCTATTCTGGCTATCATACCGAGTAGCTTAATGATCTCCACAAATAAACAAGATTTACTGAATTTTTTTTATTTAGAGTATCAGTCGCCAAAGAAAGAGCTCAGATTAGTCTGACACAATTTAAATTACTGCTCTTCATTTCATTTTTCATTGTCGTATCTTTTACCGTTCCCTACAGGGAGCAAATAAGAAGTAACCTTCATTTCTTCCCAGTAACGCTTTCAGTATTTTCAGAGAGTACAAGACAACTCCAACTCCTCATCAGTAGACATCTGTACCTCAAAAACCAGCCAAGTCATTAACTACCTGTGAACTGGAGTACAGCCTTCCATTTCTGGGTCCCCTTTTGCGTTTCAGACTAAATTCTTCCCTGGACACTGTCTCATCCCCACTCAAACCCGGTGGCTCTGCTGCACGTACAAAGTCTAACAAAAGGCAAAAAAACAGTTTCTGAAGGAGAGCCCCGAGCAGGAAGAGCCGGTCGACTCCCGGGTCTGTACGCTACACAGATCAGGTGCAACGAGACGGCATCCCGCTGTATGCTATGGGGACCAAAGATGGTTTCAAGAAACAAACAGTCATTAACACTAAAGAAAATAAAGGGAGTAACTGTTATTCACCACTGACAAAGGTGATAAACATAGCTGAGACAAGATAAACATTCTGCGTAATAATATCATTAAGCTAAAACCCATTTTATAAAATGAAGTGAATTGGATGAGAGATGTCAGTGTGCTACATTCCCAGATTATCTGTATGTAAGCATGTGATTTTATACAAGATCACGACGCTTTTTTTAACCTAACCCACATTACTATTTCCGCAGCAGCAGGAACACTTGCTCCAACCATTCATTTTGCTTTCTCCAGCATCCAAAAATGTTACCACGCCTGATCTTTTGCCAGTTCCAGTGCTTGCATAACTACATCAAAGACAGAATTCTGAAATTATCCTTTTTAAAAAATAAACAGAAAACAACACTTTTTTGCCTCCAGGAAGGTTTACTGAAGCAGGGGGGCATGGCTTTCTTGTTAGCACAGCAGAGCAATTTAAAAGGCTAAATACCCAAATTTTTTATTTACCTGTTTAAATATCTGGGTCCCTTGCAGTGTAACTTCCATACTGAACCTCCATCTGAAGGGTTTATAGGAGCTACTAGATGACACACATTAAAAGAAACACTGAATTTTTTTTATTATTTATTTTTACCAATTAAGTTATTGACATGCATTTTCTGCCCTGCCTCAGAGTTCAAGGATTCTTCCCGTGTATGTGTCTAAGGATCTCTAAAAGAAAGAAGATTACCTTGTGAAATTAAGACTATTTTTTTTTCCTGGAATAGCTCCATCACCCAGGATATGTGATAACAAACTGTGGAGCTCCACTCAGTGCTTCAAAATTTGTCACAGATAACATTCCTATTTCAGAGAGCTTTTTTCCATGTCAGCATAATTCTTTCTTTTAATGTCTTTATCTCAGAGATGTAGAAGAAATCAAGAAAATCTTTGCAAGTTTGTCTTTTGTGATAGGCACTGCTGATATGACGAAGCCCTGTTTGACTGTATTGGTGTCGCGACGCTAGATTGCAAAGGGAACATTTAAGCTCTGGACTCTCAAGCCATCCAAAGCACAGCCTCCTTCCAGCTCGCTCTGCCCGCACTCCTCCTGTACCCCCCATTAATTCGCTGGCTTTGGACTTCCAGCATTCTGAGGCAGAGCTCACAAAGACATCATGGGGAAGGACATGGCCCTGATCCCAGCAGAAACAGCACTGAGATCCTGGTCAAGCATCCCATCCAGAAAAGCACTTTATACTTACGAAGCTCCTTTTCAACATCAGGGGTCAACCACTTCTAGTCAACCCTACAGCATCATGTTTCCTGACATGCTCCCTCGGAATATCAAGGCTATCGGCTTTACTTGTGATAGCCTGAGCTCAGTTACTGAGGGGAAGGTGGGGGGAAGCTATCCAAAACAAAAGTGTCCCCAGACCTCCCCCCATGGCCCACCCATTCCCATTTCCTAGTAATCTTCCGGATCACCAGATTAGTTAGTTTAGGCTGATCCCAATCTTTTGGGAACCTGTTTCCCCCTCCCCCAGTAGCATAAAAGTGGTAGAGAGAAAAGAAGTTTCTAATTGGAGTTGTTTAAATCAACAGTATATTGAAATTAATTTAAAAGGTTAACTCTTAGCATTACAGCAACAAGCAAGAGCTGATGCATCTGTCCGTTTAGCTACGGAAAATGCACTCAAGTAACTGAATTTCTGAGTTAGGAACAGACATCTGAATTTTCAACCTACATGACACTGCTGTGACAGTAATGCTGTTTGGCTGTATAGTGTGTTCGTTACAAACTGTTCTTCAGATATTTTTAACTAACTATGCTTAGTTATAAATTCACTGAGTGAAAAGCTGGCATAAAGACCTTAAATTAAGGATGTTTGGGTGCACAGTTAACCTAAATACATATATATTCCATACATATATGTGCAATACACACGTAAATCTCACTTTTCAAATTTAAACCCATTATAAATCCATCAATTCTGCTGTTTTTAAAGAATGTCTATACATCTAAAGGAAAAGCTGTCTAATCTATAGGAGACATGCTGGGTAAGATGTTCTTAGGAACGGAAGATGGCTCTTCTCTCAGCACAGAGCAGGCAGATCCCCCTTTCCAACCTTCCTGGAACTAAAGTTGAGAAGAACTGCTGCGGAGTTTGGCCTCTCCCGGTCCTCAGTGCCAGAGCTGGGCTTCTGGGAGCCACTGGTGAAACTCCCAGTGTCCTGGGACTGGGTGCAGCTGCAGCCAACTGGGAAGGGAGGCTGCCCCGCAGCAGTGACTCTCCCACCACGCTGCCCAAAGCACATGCGGAGACATGAGACCGTTCTTCACCCTCGTCCCAGCCAAAAAAAGCTCTTTGAGCTACAGTGCTCTCACAGGCTCCTCAGTAAAATGCAGCAAGTGAGATTTGGAAATGATTGGTCATGGCATATTGAAACCAACAGTTAGGCCAAAGCAGGTGTCCAGGCAACCAAATGAGGTTTTGTAATCCATGTAACATCTCTGCAAGCTTGAAAGCGGAATGGTACCACATACAAAAAAACCCCAGCGAGCTATACACACCACCTAAGGACCAGCAGAATGAGTCACGACCTACAGGAGCCAGATGAACCGTCCTGGGGGCCACAAGTCAAGCACAGAGAGACAATTTGCTGCTGTAACGCTGTCTGTAGGGTCTGAACTACGGTGCCTCAGCGAAGGCCGAGCAAGCAGCTCCCAGCACTACTGAATTCAGAGAGTCACCCAATGATTTGGGTTGGAAGGGACCTTTAAAGGTCATCTAGTCCAACCCCCTGCCACGGGCAGGGACATCTTTCACAAGGTCAGGTTGCTCAAAGTCCCGTCCAACCCGGCCTTGAACACTTCCAGGGATGGGGCAACCACAACCTCTCTGGGCAAC